TACATTACCCAGATTTTACTCGACCATTTGATTTGACGACCGATGCATCATCCTTAGGCATAGGTGCAGTTTTATCTCAGGGAAACAGACCTATAACAATGATATCCAGAACACTAAAAGATAGGGAATTAAATTATGCAACGAATGAAAGGGAGTTACTAGCAATCGTATGGGCCTTAGATAGTCTCCGTCACTACCTCTATGGCAAAAGTGATATAAACATATTTACGGACCATCAGCCACTTATATTTGCTGTTTCTGACAAAAACCCGAATTCAAAACTTAATCGTTAGAAAGCTCGCATTGAAGAGAGCGGTGCAAAAGTTATGTACAAGCCAGGGAAAGAAAACTGTGTGGCGGACGCTTTGTCGCGACAAAATATTAACGCTTTGCAGAGCTCAGCAGCGTCGGATCAAGACACTATTCATAGTGAAGAATCGTCAACACTTGTCATTGAGGCCACGGAAAAGCCACTTAACTGTTTCCAGAATCAGATCGTGTTGCAGGAGGCGTCCACGCCGAATAAAAGGATGTTTATAGTTTTTGGTACAAAGACTCGCCATCAGATTGATTTCACTGATCGGGAGTCATTACTGGAGTTAGTAAAAGTTACTCCCAACGTAGTGAATGCCCTACACTGTAAGCTTCCAGACTTGGCCCGGATTCTGGATAGTCTGGTTCGACTTTTCCCTTCTACTAAATTCTGGCATTGCAAGTCTTGGGTGGAGGACGTTATCAAACCGGGCGAACAGAAAGAAATTTTAGTTGTAGAGCATAACAGGGCTTATAGAGTCTGGTTCGACTTTTCCCTTCTACTCAATTCTGGCATTGCAAGTCTTGGGTGGAGGACGTTATCAAACCGGGCGAACAGTTTAGTTGTAGAGCATAACAGGGCTTATAGAGCTGCTCAGGAGAACATCAAACAAGTACTACTCGATTATTATTTTCCAAGAATGTCTAAAATCGCAGCCGAAGTCGTTCTAAACTGCAGGGTTTGTCAAAAGGCAAAATATAATAGGCACCCATTAAAGCAGGAATTAGGAAGTACCCCAATACCAACGCGAGTAGGAGAGATGGTACATATTTACATATTTTCAACAGGGGGGAGGCACTTCCTTACGGCTATTGATAAATTTAGAAAGTTTGCGGTGATTCAGCCAGTAGCATCGCGAGCTATATTAGATGTAAAGGTCCCGATTCTTTAGCTGGTTCCTGGTTTTTCCTAATGCAAAATCAATATATTGCGATACCGAGGCATCGTTTAACTCCGAGACGATACGATCCATGCTAAATGATTTGGGGACAACGGTCCTTATTAAGGGGAGGGTGGTCCACAAAGACAATATTCGATAAGGTCAGTTCCGAAATGCAGGCTCAGTTGCTCATACAACCATGATTAGTAGATGATTAAAACTCGTTAACATTTAAATTGACAACAAGCTTATCGCCCTCACTCTTGCCAAAATAAACTATTTGCATCAATTAAAGTTTACACTAATAACCCAATGGCAATTCTGAAAAAGGTTGTAAGATTTCACTGAATTTTGTATACTAAACTTTTAGTTTATATGATAGATAGTTCGCACACACCGGCCTGGTTCCACACCTTGATGAGGACATATTACCGACAGCCTGTATCCTGCATCAGCGTCAATCTGCGTTACGTCCTGCGTAATGATCAAGATTTAAAAGCAGAGCTATGATTGCGGTGACACAAGTCCTTGCTAACATGACCATGGCCCAGGACGCCCATTTTTGAAAAGAAGGGGAGTAGTTAACAACACAACGGCTAACTGAGATAAAAGCATAGCAGCGGCCAACGGCACACGAAGGCTTACGATAGAAGCTGATGGACGGCGGTGATCTGTGCGAGCTAGGGTTATGATTAAGCTTTTTCTGTAAATTTAGTTCTGAACTGGCAGCCGTATAATAAGGGCACATTTCATTAATTGAGCGTCATCATTTAATATTGCCGAAGCTAAGATCCTGCTATCGGCTTATCTTGATTAAACAAGGAAAGCCAGTTGGGATAACGTCGCAGGTCGTGGCCACCCGGTCTCGATCCGCACTCGGCACTACTCAACGGCAACCGAGGCGAGCACTAAGTGACTGGTCGTTGTGGGCAGCAACTAGCCGCAACACCCATCCCGGAACCAACAACTCCGTGAGCACCACGTGCCACGGTGACAACCCCCTGCAGGAAGCGTGCAGGCGGTGGACATTGCGGGCAACTGCCTTGCCGCATTATCTCAGAAGTGACGTAATCACTGATCGTGGCCACCACCCGGTCTCGATCTGCATTTGGCATCACTCTACGGATTCCGAGGCGATCATAAGGCGACTGGTCGTTGTGGGCAGCAACTTGCCACAACACCCACCTTTAAACCAACAACCTCGTGAGCACCACGTGCCACGGTGACGTCCTCCTGCAGGAACTGTGCAGGCGGAGAATATTGCGGGCAACTACCTTGCCGCGATATACTAAAAACCTTATCTTACATTCGAAATTGCATGAAACCGGCCTTAAAAAAGGTTTGTTCTCATTGGATACCGCACAATTCGACAATCGCTCAAAAGGCTCGTGTGGATTGGTGTTGTTTCAAAAGACGATTATAAGATCGTAACAGGTTAAGAATCATGGATCTAAGCTTATGAGCCCTGTTTAGCAAGGGATGACCAGAAAATTCTCCGCTAAAGGATCCAGAAATAATCATCCCAAGACTTAGTCGAAAGAAGCACAAGAAATAATATTGAGGCGTCGTTGGAACGATATATGTACATATGTATACATACATACATATGTAATTGCGAGTGCACATCGGCTTTATTGAAATTCGGTTTCGGAACTAATTAAACTTAGATCGATAAGTTAGACAATTGCCAAAATCAAATTTGGTGGTGAAAAACAACATAGGACAAATACTATTAATGTATTGCTTTATTATCGTAAAAACAGGGACAGTAAATATATGTTAATTATTTATTTTTTATTATTTGGATGTTAGAAATCATATATATGATATAATTTTTATTTATGTATTTTGTATTATTAAAATGTGGGTAGGACTTTTCAGTTTTACTGGCTTAACGTTGCATTATACTATTAAGTTGCATTTATTATTAAAAAGAGATTAAACTACTGCAAATAATTTTAATAGGCATTGTTTTATTTCATTTATATCTTTATTTTTTTTTTAGTTTGATTAGGGTTAATAAATGATTTATTATTTTTAAAAAAGTGTTTAGCTTAGAAGCGCAGCCTCTTTACGACCATTTTTCTGAAATACTGAAATGTATTTTTATATATATTTATAATTATAAATATATATATTTATGCAAATACATTTATATATTCTATATATATATGTATATCTATATATATATATATATATATATATTTACATATAAAGACAATATAATATATATACCTATATAATATATATATTGTATTTATATATTTATATAAATATAAATAGATATATGTAGATATTTGCGTGTAAATACTTATTATTAGAAGACATTAAGATGCTAGGAAGAAAATTTTATAGATTTCAGCAATTTACATATATAAGAAAAAACATACGACTCAAATTTCTATATTGAGTTAACAAATTATTTGAGATTTTAATGTTTAATGTTTTTAATGTTCAATGCTGTTAATTTTTCCTAGGTTAGTTTAAAGCTAGATGAGGGGGTTATTAAAGATGGAACACCAAAGCAAATTTACATTTAATTGGAAAGACAGAGTAACATTCTTGAAAAATGCGCTTCATGTTTTTAAATCCATATGCTGAAAAAAATAATTTTAACGATACGACAGTCTCATACAATTATATAATTTATATTTTTGCTATTGTACTCTTTATGACGAAGAATTATACACAAAAAGAAACAAATATACATATGTATATTCAAAAACGAATGGTACCTAACCTAATACATTCTATTTATTATGTGTCCCATAACTATTTCATATTTGATATTTATCATAATGTATGATAAAAAATACTCCCGAAAATGTAGAAAATGTTTTGTTCAAGTTCAACTCAAATATATAAGTAATCCAATAATACAAAATTGTATTCTATTTTTTAAATATAGTTTATTCCCATTTATTTTTTGTTGAATTTCGTTTAGACATTTATTAACTCTGTTATGCATACATAAAGCAAACCCTATGGATATGACTGAAAATGACAGTGTCAGTCAGTGTAGCATTTCATAGTTATACAGCACATGCATACATACAACATACCACTCCTGTAGTATGATTTTAGCATAATAGTCAAATAATATCCATAGGATTACCAGAAGTAGAATATGCTAGAGAATGGTGATGTTGGACATACATAAGAGTTATCGATTATTTTCGCATTATTTTAGTAAGTAACAATTAGCTAATTGGTTTTCTATTTGGTTTTCATTTACTTAGTTGATCAAGAATTGTTAAATGCTACATTTTGAAATTTTACCTAATGCTTTACATTCTTTGTAATATTATTGATGCTAACTGAGAGTAATATATAATATATTTATCGACTGTATTCACACATTTTCAGTAAGCTTAGTAACGTGTGTGGGTGCATCTTTGCATGTAACGAAGAATGGGAATAAGTTCGATATGTATAATCTTTTGATTATACAAAATGCATTTTCATAATGTTTTTAGAGGCATTTAATTTAGCAAAGAGTAAGTTAAGTTCTCTTTTATATATCAAAGTTATTCATTTTTATTTCGATACATCGATATATAAGTTTTGAATGATAATAGTTATTACATATGAACAAGTATGCACGTGTGTTATTATACTTCGTTCACCATTTTACACTTAACATGTAACCAATAATAATAATAATAATACGATGCTTAATAATGTTCTCTTTTTTATATATCTATGAGACATCTCTGAAAATACGGATATATTGAATAATTATATTTGTGTATTATTTATATAAGGGACGTTGTAGAACACTTGAATAAAAAAAGACAAGCAAAATAATCAAATTCGCCACATAACTAACTTTATTCCACGATTTTAATCTTAATAATGAATATTTAATGCATATCCATTTGTGGCCTAATGTGCATTATGACAGTTTAAGTTACATTTCTGGGGGTACACACTATTTTTGGGATATAAAATCGAATGTCGTAGCTCCACTTATTTTTGCTGATGCACTTCGATGAAAATGCACATTTTGCCATTTGTTATCGCGTTTGTGCCAGACGCGAGTCTCCTCCGATTGATGAGTGTGTGCGTGCCCCTGTCTATTAAAAAAAAAAAATAAATAAAATAACAAATGCATTTACGATTACGTTTTAAACTTTACTTACTTATCGATATATTGTGTGAGTCGGACGTAGGCAATGCAAGCTGATTCTTCACCCAATAAGTGCACATGAGGATTCAATATGGTTGTGTTAATTGCCTTGCAATTTTTGCCAAGAACTGGAATGTAAAATATTGCTATTGCTATTAAAAATATCAACAAAAATAATGAAGAGAATAAATTTATTAAGCAAAAAAAATACTTAATACAAATAACTTCACGTCGACTTATCGTCAACTTTTAGTTGGATATGAAATTTCAATATAAGGACAGCTTTTTGGCCAGTAACTTGGGATTGGGGTATTTGTATTTATTTACATGCCCTCCCTATTTATGCCCTCCTCATAAAGGGAAAAGTGAAAATATAAATTTAAAAATATATATATATATATAAAAATAAAAAATATAAATATAAAATAAAGTAAAACGTTTTTGCAGTCGTACTGTACTATAGTAACCAGATAATCAAGCCTGCTCCAGTAATCGATAAAGGTAAGATTTTTTCATTTTTGTTTTTGATCTTTTGGATTTGAAAAACGGGCACCTTTTTCTGCCCGGAATGAAAAGTAAATGGCTTTTTTATATGAAATCAGATCTTATTTTCAAAAAGAAAAAAATAGTTTACTCAGTGGTCTATTGAGATTTATTCCACACCATCACAAGATCATTATGGCAGGTATTTATTTTATAAAAAATGTATTCCTGACCCCACCTCAGATTTGACAACAACATTTTTGCAGTGTTCAACCAGTTTTTTGTTTCGGCGATAGGTCGATAAGTCCGTCCAAAAATGTTATCGCCAAGGTTGCCATATTGTTGGTGGAACGAAACAGCCAGTTAAAAATACTTATCAAATATAAATGAGTACATTAATAACTTTTAAGGAGCGCCAAAGTTGTTGTTTATAAATAATACTATTTAATTTGAATACTGAAATGGTCAATATTTACCAAATAATTAATTGAGACCAAACTGTGAAAAATGTGGCAGCATATTAGATGCCTAGATGTTCTTAACTCCAGATTTTTTGTTTGCTTCTCGTTGTTTGCTTTTTACAAACAAAATCAAATCAACTGGTTGAGCAGTAAGAAAAGATGAAAAAACGAAACATTCCGATAGGAAAAATTTGTTGAAAACCGGAGCAGCTAAAAACGAAAACGAAAAATTTTTATGATTACCGGAGCAGGGCTGACTACCCTGTAAAATTAGAGTATCTACCTTTATATCGATATACAAATAGCAACATTTTGTAAACTTAGTAAGGGCATTAAAATTTCAATTACTTTTCAGGCTGCTTAGATTTTAATTTTCTCAATAAAGTCCCTTTTTCACTTTAACTAAATTTTTTCGGGTGTGCATAATAAATTATTTTGAAAAAAAAAAATTTTATTCTGAACTGGAAAAAAAAAGGCTGTTGGCCACATAAAATTCAGTTTTTGTTGTTAAGGCTGCCGGAACGAGTCGCCAAGAAGCACTCAGCTTAAAATACTTTTTAAATGGTGAGCATTAATATAGTTAAAGAAAGGTATAATATTGTTTTATAAATAAATTATTTAATTGTATAAATGATAAGAGAGCAATACAATTTGAATAGAGGCTATTGGAATGGAAACTCCATGCAAGCTGACAGGCCCCTTTCCCCAAATAATTTAATTAAATATATAAATATCGTCGGTTCGCCCAAGCTTGTATACCCTTGAAGTTTAAAAAGGAAAAGTAACAGGAGATATATAAAAAATACGTATATTTATTTATAGCAGAGCTTTCAAATAACTGTCGACCGTTTCTCGTTGTCTGCAAATAAGTGTCTCTCTCTGACTCTTCACGAAAAGACTGAGAGAGCAAAAGTTTCATGCGTTCTTGAATGAGCTCGCTCGCGCTCAGAGCGAAAGTTTTTTTTTTTTTTTTTTTGTTTCGGTTGTTCCAAGACCGTTATGTCGTGTTTAGTGAAGAAAAAAGTCTTTTGCGTATGTATTGGTATACATTCACACGCATAGGCAAGAAAATCGTTAAACGTTTAATTGCGATCGTGTTGTAATTGTTCGTTTTGCAGACGAAATATATTCATTGCAACAACAACGAAAGTAAATGTGAAGACCGTTTTTCGGTCAATCGGTCTTTTGCTGACTCCCTTTGTGCGAGCGTTTCTCGTTCCGCTCTTTACGCACTGCTCATTGAACGACCGAAATAAAAAGAGCTCAACGAAAAGCGCTTAACAGAAAACAGAATGAAGACAGCAAAACTCTCTTGGTCAGAGCGAGAGCGAGAGAGTATGAACTATTTCGGTTGTGCTCGCAACGAGAGCACAGGAAAAAAAACGGGGTAAGGTATTTAATTTTTTTTTCATAACTTTTTTTTTTATTTTTTATTTTTAAGACCTAATATCTTAAGAATATTGTGTCCAAGTTTTACATCGATCATGGGAAAATTGACGAAGTTATGCAGAGTTGAACAAAGGTCGGTTGGTGTTAAATGCATGAGAATCACAAAGTTTAAAGCGCTCTCCTGAAAAATTCAATTTTTCAAATCGGTGTACACGATTACAGAAAAACTACTGGACCGATCGATTTGAAATTTGGCACACACATTCTTTAACTAATTCCTCAGGTATTCACGTGGTTTTTTTTTATTTTTAATTTGTATATATTTTTAAATTAGGAAAAAAAGTTTTTTTTAGTCAAAAATCGGGTTTTTCACTTTCGAATTTCTTAAAAAATCACAAAAAAAAAAAAAAAAACTTCCTGAATACCTCGGGACACTTATCCTTAAAGGAATGAGGTATAATTTTTTTTAGATCGGATGATCCTGTGGACTGTTAGGATGTACACCGCAAAACAACTTTTTTTGGAGGCGACTCGGGAGATTCCCTATAACTTCTCTACCTCTAAATATTTTTCAATACAAAACTTATCAAAAATTATTGAAATGTTGTGTTATTATATGGTATTTTATTCATTGAAAAGTGGCCTTTTTTGCACCGAATTAACCTTACCCCCCCCCTTAAAAATTTCCAAATAATTTCAGCTGTCCGCTCTCAACAAAAGGGTTTGCTATGTCTAAGATTTACTAATAGGTTAGGTTAGGTTAATCTGGACGGCCCTAGTGGGGCCACACATAGGCTAATATGCCCCATTATATTATGGCCCATGCGGAATTACTCCTCCACCTGCTTTTTCCGTCTCTCCAGCTCGCTTTGGAGCGTTCTTAGGGAGACAGGGACGTTTTCTGCTCTTTCGCCAGTCCGACGCCTTCCTTTGCAAGTTCGTCCGCGGTCCCGTTACCATCTTTGCCTTGGTGGCTGGGAACCAGTAGATCCTCACTGACTTAGTCGTGCTCAGGCTATCAAGTGACTCCGTGCTTGCTAGTACATTTTTGGAACTGACCGCTGATGATTGCATGGATCTTATCGCCGCTTGACTGTCTACGAACAAATTGACCGCCTCATGTGGACGGTTTATGCTCTGCGCAAGCTCTGCTGCTTTTTTTTTTTTGCTAATAAGGGGCTGATTAAATTTAGGCCCGATGTAGTCTCCAACTCATAGATAGTAATGAAGCACTAATTTAATTAATAAAATCGAGAGAATAAGCATTTACGGCTGAAAATAAACATTTGGAAATATTTTTAATTGCAATTCTGGAGGCAAAATGATCGAAAGTAGAGTTGCCGAGGTTGTAGAAAAATTCCCTTCGCAAAACATTTGGTTCTGTTTGTAGATTGAATAGGCTGGTATTTTAAACAAAAACACTTTTTCATATACTGTAAACTAAAAGCCAATCTTTTAGTTGTAAAACAACATAAAAGTAATTGATTGAAATTAATCTTAGATAATTTGGATCGCTGACAACCCTTAAATGGTCCCTTTTAAATACGATTCAAGGGCGGCGGATTTGCAATAATGTTGAAGGTTAGAATTGAACCGATTTTAAAGTGCAACCACAAAATATTTATTTAAAAATCAAGTATGTATATTAGCTTTAGGTAATTCAGTTATGCAATAAAGTTACTACAAACTTAAAATAATTAATTTTTGTTTTAGCGGCAGTCGGAAAGATTTCGACCGGTTTCGATCGGAAGTTAACAAAGATGTAACAGAGGGAAATACGAATCCGTAAAGATTTTTCGGAATTGAAAACTAGAACAGGTCAAGAAAATGCGAACCCGAGAAGATCTTGCGGAAGTGGAAACTAGAACAGGCCTGTATATAACTATTTATTTGTTGGCAAAGCTAGTTCATTAAATTAAATGCCATAAAATAACACAATGTTTAAATGTTATAACTTTGTGTTTAATGTAGTATTGAAAAATATTTAGAGGTATAGGCGTTATAGGGAATCTCCCGAGTCCCCTCCAAAAAATCACCCGATATCAAAAAACTATAATGCATTTAAAATTTTTTGCAGATGTATCAAAATTGGAAGTCAAAACCCCGATTTTTACCTAAAAATTCAGTTAATATGTTAAATTAAAAATGTAATAAAATTTAACATTAAAAAACTCCTGTAGAATAAATTAAAGATGTTATGTTCCAAAATTGAAACCGATTTATCGATAGATTTTTTTTTTATATAGATTTTTAGTTATTGTGCATACAGACCAGAGAGCTGCAACGATCAACATTTTTTCGATCATACCCGATCATTGACTCGGATTTTTTGTGAGCCAAAACTTTGCATCAACAAAATTAAATGATCGTTAGCAAGCGTGATCGAAGCGAACATTCAGTTCCGATCACCCTTGACTTGGTTGGGAATGATTTTTTTTGATCGTACGCGTTGTATGAGCAACAAAGAATGATCGAGACTGCTGCTTCCATTCAGGCCGATCGCAATCATACCGTTCGGTCACACCGGTTTTGATTTGCTCATACCGAGTGGTTCGGTTCAGGGTGACGAAATTTAAGCCTAGTACTCTGACGAGAAAAACCCGCTGTATAAATTAGACAGCGGAATCGCTGTTTATTTCGCTACCGAGCTAGTGTGACCAAAAAAATTAAGGAAATTCCATGAAAATGTACATTTTATGGCGTTTAAGGATTTTCCTTGGTCACACTGGACAGCTGTTTGTAAACAAATATTCAAAAAAAATATTAAAAATATTAATAAATATGGCATTAAAATGTCCTTTGTGGGTTAAATTCCATATTATGGGCTTCCCCTTGACAGCCCCTATCAATGTCACCTTTTTCCTTCAACTTTCCCTCCATTAGGGGTGTCTAAATAAATCAAATGAATTATTTAGACAGCGCGATATCAGCTGTTTACTATCTTGATCTGGCAACGCCATTCAATTTTCGCAGGCTTCATTTTCGTCGTCAGAGTACCGAAAAAAACGAGGTGTCTAAAAATTCTTCTTCTTTTTTTTCGACACCGTTTTTTTTATATGGAGTTTGGCCGCTGTCTAAATTTATACAGCGGTTTTTTCTCGTCAGAGTACTAGGCTTTAGCAGAATCTCGGACGCAAACTGTTTGTTTATTAATTATAAGCATTAAATATTAAGTTTTTTCTGCATTACTTAAATTTTAGTTATACGAGAAAATTAAGAAGAAATAACTAAAGTCATTTGTATCAGTTAGTTGAAAAACATTTAAATGTTTACATATGTAGATATGTTCAACAAAAAAAGTTAACACATTTCGCAAGGCAATTCTCGATCTGATTGCATCATTCACAATAAAATCATGCGCAACATGAATGAAGCCTGAGCTCTTTTGAATCGTTGGACTTCATCGTTCTTTTTCTGCACAATCAGTTCCGATCATCATACCGGTACCAAAAAATCAGTTTGAATCAGGAAGCAGAGCAATCAAGCCAACTGAACGAGATCGTTCGTTTTGTTCGCGAAGATCGATCGAGCATGTTGTGGCGATCTTCTGTGTTGAGTTGTGATCGGCTTGAGCGTTGTTGATCGATCCGGACCGATCATACTCAATGCAGCTCTCTGAACAGACTTCCCAAGTGGCACTTTTAGAAGAGCAGTTTAAACTTTTTGATGCTCATACATTAAACACCAAACGACCTCCGTTCTACAACGCCTTACTTCGTCAATTTTATAATTGATGTAAAGCTTTGACAATATTCTTAAGATATTGAACTTTAACATTTATAATAAAAATAAAAAAAAAAATTACGAACTGCGTTAGTCTTAAATTGTACAGACTTGAAGTACAGCAAATTAAGCGAATGAATAAAAACATTATACAAATTCTTAAGTTTACTCACCATTCTCAAAGTAAAATTTGTGAAAATCAATTCCTTCAACAAGATTGCCCAAGGCTTCTGGCTCAAACGCAGTAAGATGAGGATCACAAATTTTTCTGAAATATAAAGGCAATTAAAAAATTAGCCCATGCCATACTGTTTTTTATAAAGACAATCCATAAATAAGCTCAGCAGAACATTTTAATAAAAATATAAGATGACGGACAAGATTATAGAGTAATCAGTGGCATAATACGCCATAGCGACATAAGTCCGACGACATATCTCAGCCCGGTACATTTTTCGAGCGGACTTATAACGCTCCCCCAAACTACAAACGACATATCTCCGCGAGGATACATGTCTCCGACGAACTAAAAACTATTGCAAATAAATTTACAAGTAGCCGTAACATATGTACATAAATTTGAAACACTAGCATATTCAGTTTTCTGATCGCTCTGCAAAAGATACAGTTCTAAACCAACAAAGTGTCATATCGCAAGGGATATATGTTTTTTTTTTATAATGAACCAAAAAACGAACACAAATAAAACAATAACAAGTGCAACCGGTAAAGTCACGATTCAAAGTCGTAATCGGCAGAAAGATCATACCTGAAAATAAGCTAGACTTTGTCTCAACGGGAAGGTTACATACTGACCCGCAGATCCCAATAAACAATGAAACTATTGATTTAGGCGTAACTAAAAGAGTTCCGCACTGGCTAACAAACTTTAGAAGAGCTTATATCTGATCACTCGCCTGTTCTCCTCTGTCTACCTTATCAGCTGCTTCTGAAACGCCCCAAATCTAACATCAAATAAAACAAACTGGCTGAAGTACTTTTGAACTCGATCCTGAAATTTCCTGTGAATCAGACAATTAAAAGTCCCTGCTAAAACAAGATCCCGCGTCGCACAGTAGCGCCTCTTGAACAAAAGCCGTTGCAAAAATAGGAAAATTCATAATCGCAAAATAGTTTTTACCCATACAAATCCGACAAAGATTTTTCCAATGATAATAAATCTATGCTCAAACAAATTTTCAGATTTTTTTTGTGGAAGATATGAGCATTCAAAGTTGAAATTGTTTTCGGTGTATGCGTCATACAACAAAAAAAATAGGTAAATTTGTCAGCTTTCAGGTAATATATCACAAAAACTACATAACGACAAGCCGAGTTTGTATACTCTTGCCGACTGCAATTGAATCATTCAGAATCGAGCAATTCTGGTTAAATAATTAAAAAAATAAATAAAAGAAAATATATACAAGTTGTATAAATAAAATGCTGAAAACGCACAAAACAGAGTTTCATAACATTTTACCTATTCTTATTATATTAACAGTTTGACAGTTACAGTTTTACATTCCTAGCTTTATTCTGAAATATTATAAAATGGCCATATCTCAAAAACAGTCATATCCGGCCCGTTCCGACAGTGAGAGTATATAGAGTTTCATTCAGATAGCTTTAAAACTGAGGGACTAGGGACTTCTGACTGAAGTTATTATACCCTTCAAGGGTATAAAAAGGGTAGTTTTGTTTGGGCATGTCCAGGTAAATCGCTACCTGCCAGGTGTCCAATATGTTCATGTTTTTCTGGCTAAAGTAATCTTGAACTTCTGAAGCTGGATAAGAATCAGTTTTCATCGGCTGCGTCCAGCTGCAACTCTGGCAATGCGAAGCAAAAACCCGAAACAACAGGGTAAAATATACCAGAATCTACCAAATTTTTTTTAATAAGAAAAGAAAAAAAATTGTAGTGTTCAACTTATTTTGATTTGATCAAATAAACAAAAATAGAGCAAACAAATTAATAATAATATTAATATAATATTGGCTCCACTCTATTTATTTGTTTATATAACGCTAACTAATAGTTGAAACTAAGAAAACGTAGGGGAGGAGCACACCTTCTTAGGTCCGACGTCATCAAAACGTTCTAGATCTAACACCTTGAAAAGGGACAGGGTACTTTGGTAAAGGTCTGGAGGGTCCTTGAGAGATCATCCTTCTCAGACCACAAGTACATACAGATCCGATATGAATTCGAACACTCCCAAGCTAAACGTCTAAACTAATGCAAGCTCACTTCCCAGGATGCACTGAGATCTTCGATGTCAACAAGCACCAGGGGATTCGCGGTAAGATGTTTAAAAACTGATTTCAGTGAAACGCCAGAGATTATTTAAATGTTCCGTTCCTTTAGATTTTAGTTTCGGAAATATAGTGTTTTTTTTTTTTACCATACTTTTTATGTTGGATTTTTACTCATTAAGTAAACTTGAAGACAATATTTTCGTTTATTTTCGACTCTTTGCATTCTCCAAGTGATGTTAGAAGTTTTTATCTAAACATGCCCTTTTCTATGGTTTTAATCAAAATAATGCAAAATCGCGTTCGCACTCGAATATTTCTAAATCTGTATCAGAATGTCTTAAATTCTTTAAGATTTTAGAGAACTTTTCATTAATTGCCCGCGGTCTGCAGAAGTGCCCATATTTGAACAAATGATACTCGGAGCTTGCCCGGATGTCAAAATAACATTATTCATGGGACCACACAACTGGAAAAATATGGATTTCTGTATTAAGAAACTATAATGCTTAAAATTTTGCTGCCGGTGGGAAATACCAAGAAAATATACTTCAATATTTTACAATAAATAAACTTACGTGTATCCATCAAAGTCGCCACTGTTAATCGCTTCAATCAGCTGCTCTGTGATCTTTATTATTTCTTGTCGTCTAGCTGCTTTTTGTAAGTAGAATAAAAGTTTCGTTAACTTGTTTTGATTTTGTAATAACAAAGTGTTGGTATAAAAGTCATTTTAATAATTGGATTTTTGACCTGTAGTACCTTTAGTATATCTATATTTTTAAACACTACATACATAGATAAACGGTTTTAAATAATTTACGTAATGTACTGACAATTTTTGGGAAAACCTATTTTTGCTTATTGCCCTATTTTAAGAGAACCCAAAATATATATTAAAAAACTGAAAGGGAAAACAGTTTGATTTATTTAAGGAAAATATGATCGAATGTATTTTTTTAATACCCAAAACGTTTAGTGTTATCAGAGCAAGCCTGATTTCAGGAGTTAAAAATGATGTGCCGTTATTGTAGATAAGTTTGATACATGCAATTTTGTACAAGCATTATTCATATACATATGTATAATTAAAAGATAATAAACAAATTTGACGATGACGTACGACTGTGTGTATGAATAATTATTAAAAATGGTCGTTAGACCTCTAATATATATAATTATAAAAATGTAACATTTTTTAAGTTTTTTGAAAATATAAATTAAATATTTATTTATTTTTTTTTGCAAACATTGAAAATCTGTTCTTTTTACTACTTCCTCTATGACATAGACATGAATATATCTTATATATGATTAATAACAAATATTACTGGCGTGTAAAAAAAATGTTTCCAATAGTTTTGTTACCGGAATGTTTAATATTTTTACTTTTTAAAGATGACTTTGTTTTTTTCAAAGGGTAGTAGTTAAAATAAATATTCTTCATGTTTTTTTTATTTTCATTACAGTTAAACAAGAAAGGAAGCTAACTTCGGCACGCCGAAGTTTGTATACCCTTGCAGATTGGTTTGATGTTTATATTATAGATTTAAATGCTGAAAACACTCACAAAACAGAGTTTCATTACATTTTACCTATACTTATTATGTTTACAGTTTGACAGTTACAGTTTTACATTCCCAGTTTTACATTTTCTCTACATTTACGGATCGCTTCTATGGCAGCTATATGATATAGTTGTCCAATTTTTATGAAATTTATACCATAATTCTAGAATAATAAAAAAAGCTTATATTTTAGAGTAGATAAACATACGTTGAAAAACAACGAAGCAATAATTTTTTTCCTATTCATTTCCCGATCGTTTCTATGGCAGCTATATCTTATAGTCGTCCGATTTTTATAAAATTTTTATCAAAATTCAGAAATAATATAAAAAATGGTGCAAAAATGTTGAAAAACAGCAAAGTTATAATTTTTTTTCTACAAATATATCGAACATTTGTATGGCAGCTATATGATATAGTCGTCCGATCCGGCCCGTTCCGACATATATAGCAGTGAGAGCATATAGAAGACTATATGCATAGTTTCATTCAGATAGCTTTAAAACTGAGGGACTAGTTTGCGTAGAAACAGACAGACGGACAGATGGACAGACGGACAGACGGACATGGCTAGATCGACTCGGCTGTTGATGCTGATCAAGAATATATATACTTTCTAGGGTCGGAAACGTCTCCTTCACTGCGTTGCAAACTTCTGACTGAAATTATAATACCCTGCAAGGGTATAAAAAGGGCTGCAACTTGGATACATTTTCAATTCTAGTGGTCTTAAATCATTTTCGCTTTCAGTTACGTGATTTATTTTTATATTACAGCCATATTTTACCCTCATATTATAAAGCTTACTTTTTTATTTTATAAGTATTTAAATTGAATATTTTGTTCTCTCAGTTGTCTGACAGCCTTAGTGACAAAAATTAAAGTTATTTTTGGCTTAAGAAAAATATATTTTTTTAATAATTAAAAATTTTCTTAGAGATTAGATTATTTACTATTTTATTTTATTATATTTTTAAAATTATATGTTGTTTTTGGCGGCCATTCTTCCTTTTAAAGAGTCATAATTGAAAATAAGATCAGATTTAATGGTGACAAGGGGATTTTACTTTTCGTTTCGCAAAGCCAGTGGCAGTATTTCAATTCAATACAATCTTGTGTAAGTGAAAACGGTAGCACACCTGTTAATCACATAAATTTATATTAATAATTTGGAAGTTTTTATCTTCAAACAATACTTTATATTGTACCGTAGCACACGATGTTACTGCATCATGCCGATCCGACTCTAAAAGCTAGAACTGCCAAATTAGTAACAAAATCAGTTATACGCATTACATTTAATTTTACCCAAAATGTTATGGGTACCGAGTATCGTGTTCGGCTATGAGCAATTAAAGTTTTTTACTTTTTTTATACCCTTGCAGGATATTATAATTTTTTTCAAAAGTTTGACACTTATTGAAAGAGTAATTTCCGATGCTATAAAGTAAATATTCTTGATCAGTTGTAAAGCAAACTAGTCTCTCAGTTTAGAAACTAGCTGAATGAAAAAAAAATATATATTGTATATACAGGGTGCGCCATCTTTCATGTCGGTATTTAAATATCGAATAACTTTGCCATTAGTGAACCAATTAACTTGATTGATACAGTGTAGAAAAGCTCACTTCAGCAGAATTTTAATCATGGATCGCATTACTCCAAAAGAACGCGCTGAAATAGTGACGCTTTACATTGAAAATAGTCGTTCAGTTTTTTTGACTCAAAAAAGGCTAAACTGATCGGACCCAGATTTCCAGATTTCACACCTCCGGACTTCTTTTTATGGGGATATTTGTTTACGTCAGCAAGCGTCAACACATTGACGAGATCATGGCTAATATTCGTGCTAGAAAAAGTAATGGAAATGCAGCAAAAAGGGCACATTTTGTGTGTCCAATAAAATCGGCCACTTGATTGATATTGTTTTTGTTAAAGTATGCAAGCTGAACGTTTCATATTCGATAACCGATGATCCATTTCCATTTCTAGTATAATGAAGTATGGTCTCTTTATTATCCTCCTCCTATGTTCACTCCTTCGCAAGCCATCAAACTGAATAAACGTATGTCGCTTAAGTTCAAGTCTGGTGTTCTCCTTTTCTAACGCGTGTGTCGCGTACGGTTTTACTCACGTATTAGGCCCTTATATTTATCCACGAACATAACCCCCAACATAGGTTATGGGCCCAGTGAAATTCGCAAATTAAATAAAGTGACTTAATACAAACATGAGTATGTACCAAATTGAAAAGTTGTGCGAGAGCAACTACGATGCCTGGTGTGTGCAAATGAGAAGCGTTCTCGTGCACCAAGCCCTTTGGAATTTCGTAAACGGGAAAAATGTAAAAGTCGAAGGCAATGCAGAACTAACGGCCAAGTGGGAAGCGGACGACGAAAAAGCATTGGCGTGTATTATATTGAACGTGAAAATATCGCAGCTCAACTATATAAAAAACGCGAAGACCTCACAAGAGGCATGGAATATTCTTCGGGATGTTTACGTCACCAACGGGCCAATACGTAAAGTTAGTCTTTACAAGAAACTACTAAACACAAAAAAGCCGGCAAATTGCAGTATGTCGCAATTTCTAAATTCGTTCGTCGAAGTGGTAGATAAACTAGCAGAAGTAAACATTGAATTGAGTGAGGAATTAAAAGTGATAATATTGTTGTCCAGTTTAAGTGCCGATTTCGAACATTTCATAGTTGCCATGGAAACGCGTGATTCTTTGCCGTCCTTTGAAGTTATAAAGGTCAAGCTTCTGGAAGAAGCCGAAAGAATAGAGCAGAAAACCGAAGAAAACGAGCAACAACAAGCCTTCTATGCAGGCGGCAACGGTGCAGCTGCAAAGAACGGACAAAAAGGTGCGAAGCAAAATAAGAAACAATTCGACGGTAAATGTTTCAAATGCGGAAAACGCGGGCACAGAGCAGTGCACTGCAGATCGCGAAAAGGCAACGAAGATGAAAGAACGGATCAAAGTGAACACAAAATTTCGTATTCCGTTTTTTCGGCAACGCACAAAGCAACGGTATCGGAAAGCGCTTGGTGTCTGGACAGTGGGGCAACTTCTCACATGTGTAAACAAAAAGATTTATTTGTTTCGTTTGTCGAAATCAAAGACAAAATCATGTTGGCAGCTAATAATTTTATCGAATCAACTGGCAGAGGCACAGTGATAATAAAAACTGGTGAAAGTGTGATAAAATTAAAAGATGTACTGTATGTACCATCGCTGCAGATGAATTTTATTTCTGTGGGCAAAGCTATGAGCTATGGACACTGTGTGCAGTTCAAAAAGAAGGAAGCAATTGTCAAAGACGAAAACAATGTCGTGTTGCTGCGGGCAAAAATGAAAGACGGGCTATTCATTTTTGACGATAAAAAGAAACATTCGTTGTTTCTGATGAATAAAAAAGATGTAATTTGGCATAATCGGTATGGCCATCTCAATTACAGAAGCCTAAAAGAATTGGTCAACAAAAACATTGTGAACGGGTTTGATGTGAAAAACATAACGGAAATAAACTGCGAAACGTGTAATAAATGCAAAATTAGTGCGACTCCATTTCCAAAAAACTCAGTAAGCCGTGCGTCGGAAGTTTTGGAAATAATTCATACGGACATATGCGGTCCTATGAACGTGCCGTCGGTCGGTGGAGCAAGATATTTTATTACTTTTATAGACGACAAGTCGCGCAGAATTTTCGTGTATTTTCTGAAATCAAAGGACCAAGCATTCGAATCATTTAAAGCGTTTAAGAACTTGGTCGAGTGTCAAACCGGAAAGAAAATAAAATGTGTTCGCAGTGATAACGGAAGAGAGTATAAAAACAAACAGTTTGACGATTTTTTGAGCGATTGTGGCATTAAAAGACAGTTAACAGTGCCGTATACTCCGGAACAGAACGGTGTTTCCGAGAGGGCTAACAGAACCCTCGTCGAAATGGCGCGTAGCATGCTCGTGCATGCAGATGTTGGTGAATCGCTATGGGCTGAAGCAGTATCGACTGCTGCATATCTTCGAAATCGGAGCCCTACCAACGCGCTAAAAGAAGATCTTACACCAATGGAGGCATGGAGCGGCAGGAAACCAACTGTGAGCCACTTACGCACGTTTGGCTCAAAGGTATTCGCACTGGATAAGAAGAATCGCCATAAATTTCAAGCTAAAGCGGACGAATATATTTTCGTTGGATACTCTTTAACGGCTAAAGCGTATAGGTTATACGACAAACTTCGAAGACAAGTCATCGAGAGGCGTGACATGAAATTCGTGGAATTTGAAAATACTGTATCTAATTTCACTAATAATGAGTCTTCGACAGGTGTATTAGACTTCATCCCACAAGCAGATGACCAAATACAGGCGATTTCAGAAGAAGTAGCAGCCTGCGACAAACTCAATCCAGAAGAAGCAGCTGTTGATGAAGAACAAGCCCAAGAGCAAGAATCTGAAGAGGATTCATCTGAAGAAGAAGAAGCAGGAGTTCGTCGAGGACCGGGCAGACCTAGGCTGGTGCGCACTGGACAAAGAGGACGACCCCGAAAAGACTTCAACGTGCTGAACAATATCGCCGCTAGCACCGACATAGATACACCCATTACTGTAAAACAGGCGCTTTTGAGCAAACATTCGTTTGAGTGGGAGAATTCGATGAAGCGTGAGTACAAGGCTCTTCTCGATAACGAAACGTGGACGTTGGTCGACCTCCCGCCGAATGCCAAAGCCATAGGATCGATGTGGGTTTTTCGCATCAAACGCGATGATCAGGGCAATGTAGAGAGATTCAAGTCAAGGCTGGTCGCCAAGGGATGCAGCCAGCAGTTCGGTGTTAACTACACTGAAACGTTTTCGCCAGTCATACGGTATGAAAACATCCGTTTAATCTTTGCCATAGCGGCAGAGAAAGGGTTGCATTTACATCAGATGGACGTCACAAATGCATATTTAAACGGCAAGCTTGGCGAAAACGAAGTAATTTTCATGAAGCAACCGGAGCACTTCATAGATGCAGAAAAGCCAAATGCCGTATTGAAACTCAACAGGGCCATCTACGGGCTTAAGCAATCCGGCAGAATTTGGAATGAAACAATTGATAAAGCATTAAAGGACTTAGGATTTGTGCAGTCTGATTTTGAAAAATGCCTTTATATAAAAATCAATGCTAATTCTTATAATCTTATCGCCATTTATGTAGACGACCTGATTATAGCCTGTTCCAACAAAGATGACCTGGTAAACATCAAGAAGAAGCTGCAAGACAAATTCGAGAGTCGTGATAACGGGCCACTCCACCACTTTCTGGGTACGGAGATTCGTCGTGAGGATCCGCAGGGTACTATTTCTGTGTGTCAGAAACAGTACATTAAGAGCATACTGGAGAGGTACAACATGGGCGTATGTCGCTCTGTATCGACGCCACTGGATCCTGGATTCCAAGGAAGCTGCTTGGACGAAAGCTGCAAAAGGACAAATGCGACCGACTACCAGTCGATCATTGGATCGCTAATGTATTTAGCGATATGTACTCGCCCTGACATCATGCACTCTGTGTGCAAACTGGCCCAAAGGAATTGCGATCCACACCAAGAGCACGAGCTAGCAGCCAAGCACATTTTGCGCTATCTCTCGAAGACGATCGACCTGAAGCTGCGTTATCAGAAGACTGGGCAGCGCCTGCATGCGTATGTCGATGCAGACTGGGCGAACAGCATCCTAGACCGGAAGTCGTACACTGGGTACGGTTTCTTCTACGGAGGATCGGTGATTTCCTGGGAATCACGCAAGCAAACTGTCGTCGCTTTAAGCAGCACCGAAGCCGAGTACGGTGCGTTGTCGTCAGCCGCCAAAGAAGCTGTGTACCTGAGCCGCCTCCTGAAGGAAGTTGGGTGCCATCCGGCATCTGATCCTGTTCACATATACGGTGACAATCTAAGTGCACAGCAAATTGCTACCAATCCCGTGCACCACAAGCGAACCAAGCACATCGACATTAGATATCACCACGTCAGAGAAGTAATTGAAAGCAATGAAATTTGTATTAGTTATGTTCCAAGTAAAGAAAACGTGGCTGATATTTTTACCAAAAATGTACAGAAAATTAAACATGATAAATTTGTGGAAATGCTCGGTTTAAAACTGTAAACAATATTGTAAAGAAACATTCAACTTGAGAAGAAGTGTTAAAGTATGCAAGCTGAACGTTTCATATTCGATAACCGATGATCCATTTCCATTTCTAGTATAATGAAGTATGGTCTCTTTATTATCCTCCTCCTATGTTCACTCCTTCGCAAGCCATCAAACTGAATAAACGTATGTCGCTTAAGTTCAAGTCTGGTGTTCTCCTTTTCTAACGCGTGTGTCGCGTACGGTTTTACTCACGTATTAGGCCCTTATATTTATCCACGAACATAACCCCCAACAGTTTTCAAAAATTAGTCTGTAGAAATTCTAAAGGATCAAATTAAATAAAAACATCTTATACTTGAAAATCGGTTGTTTATTTTCGAAGATATTCAATGTTTACATGCCGACATAAAAGATGGCACACCCTGTATATATATAAATATTTTTATACCCTTGCAGGGTATTATAATTTCAATCAGAAGTTTGCAAAGCAGCGAAGGAGACGTTTCCGACCCTATAAAGTATATAAATTTCTGATCAGTATCAACCGCCAAGTCGATCTAGCCATGTCCGTCTATCTATCCGTCCGTCTGTCCGTTTCTACGCAAACTAGTCCCTCAGTTTTAAAGCTATCTGAATGAAACTTTGCATAGTCTTCTATATACTCGTACTGCTATATATATCGGAACGGGTCGGATCGGACGACTATATGAGCTATATGAGCTGCCATAAATGTTCGATAAATTTTCAAAAAAAAATATATATAACTTGGCTGTTTTTCAACATTTTTTCTCCATTTTTGAGATATGGCTATTTTATATTATTCCAGAATCTCGGTTTTAATTTTATGAAAATCGAACGACTATATCTTATAGCTGCCATAGGAACGATCGGAAAATTTATAGAAAAAATTATAACTTCGTTGTTTTACAACGTAATATCATCTACTCTGAGATATAAGTTTATTTTATAATTTCAGAATTTTGGTATAAATTGTATGATAATCAAACAACTATATCATATAGCTGCCATAAAACGATCGGTAGATTTAGAGAAAATGTCAAGCTGGGAATATAAAACTGTAACTGCCAAACTGTAAACATAATAAGTATAGGTAAAATGTAATAAAACTCTGTTTTGTGTGTGTTTTCAGCATTTAAATGTATAATATAAACATCAAAAACAATCTGCAAGGGTATACAAACTTCGGTGTGCCGAAGTTAGCTTCCTTTCTTGTTATTATATATTTTAAATAAAAGGTTGTTCAAATTTGATCAATAACGAAGAAATTTGATATGTATAAACTTGTTCTTTATCTCTGTTAGTTATTCTCTTCATTTGACCAAAATCGATTCTTAAGGGGTTATCCGGGTTTTGAACCCCAAAAAAAGGCATATTTTCCAGATTTTGTTTAAAAGACCCTATGACAATTTTGCAAATTTAATTTATTTTACATTAATGCATAAGGTTTGAACTAAATTGTGTAAAAATTAAAACAAGAAATATTGACAAATGAGCCGTTGAGGGAGGGTTGAACTTAACCCCAAAAAAAATTATGTCCTTGCGGTAGGCAGGATGGATATCTCCGTCAATGTTTATAGGAATTCAAAAAACCAAAATTTTTCTGTTAGCTTATGTGTCTGCATTTTTTAAAAAATTAAAAATTGAATTTTTGGTAGCGTTTTTTATAAAAAGTGTCATGTTTTACGTCATTTTTGGGCATATTTTGGCTTATAAAATGAGTTGTAAATGAAGATATAAAAAATCCTTCGTTCAACGACAACAAAAACATATCTAGAAGAAGTGTGCAAAAGTAGAAGTCGATCGGTGCAATAGTTTTCGAGAAATCGTGACTACCGACTTCAAAAAAGTGGTTTCGAGAAAAACGACGCAAAACTTCGAATTGCCAGTTGTGACTCACACGACGCGCTGGGCTTTAAATTTCTCCCAATTCTACAGTTTTGCCTTGATCGACTTAAAATTTTCGGACAACATTCCTGACACTTCGTACTATGATAGAAAAAAGTTTGAAAAAAGTTTTTTGTTTTTATGTTTCAAAACCCGGATAACCCCTTAATGCTCCAATTGCAAACTGCAGGGGTATAACGACATGCCTAGGTTATATAGCTTTCTTGTATGTTTTAGATATTTTTCTATCCTTGTTATTAAAAAAAAAATCAAGTTACAAAAAGGAAGAAGTACCCATACTTAATGGGTTAAAACTTTTAACTTTTTTAAAATCACAATTATTTAATAAAAAATGAAAGACTTTTGTTTTTGAATTTCTAAATTATTTCCCCTTATATATCGTTAGTACCCCAGAAAATGGAGCCACTATTGATGTTTTTACAGTTGTACCACAATCCATATTATCGAAAAGACTTTTGCTGTTTAGACCTCACATTTTTTGTTTAAGATTTTCTATTGATGTTTTTGCAGTTGTACCACAATCCATATTATCGAAAAGACTTTTGCTGTTTAGACCGCACTTTTTTTTTGTTTAAGATTTTATTATTAAGAACGAAATGCTTTTCTGTTCTTCCGAAAAATTGACATCATTTGTGCACTCATAATTCGCATAATTTATACATACATACCTGACGAGCACTGCGAGTTTCCTGTAATTTGCTGGCAAGTTTTTGCAGGACACAGTATCCTTATATCTAAAAACGCATATACTTTTGTATATATTTTTATGCATCCAAATATTATATACAAATATTTAAAGTGTATTTATGAATGATTATGAAAGTATAATGATAAATTAAGTCCAATGATTTATGTATTTATACTCTGCAGGGTATTATAATATTAGGTAGAATTTTGGAACGCATTGAAGAAGTCATTTCCGACCCTATAAAGTATATTATTCATGATCAGTATCAAAAGGCGAGTCGATCTAGCTATGTCCTTCTATCGGTTTCTACGCAAACGAGTCCCTTAGTTTTGAATCTATCTGATTGAAACTTTGCAGAAAGGTGTCTGACTTATCTCACTTATGTATACATAAATATACATGGTATATAATTATTTGGTTTTAATCAAACTTAAAAAGCACTATTTTTAAATCGTATTTAAAAACTATATTTTAGGTTTGAAATATAAAAATATAAAACAAGAAAGGAAGCTAACTTCGGCACGCCGAAGTTTGTATACCCTTGCAGATTGGTTTTTATGTTTATATTATAGATTTAAATGCTGAAAACACTTACAAAAACAGAGTTTCATTACATTTTACCTATACTTATTATGTTTACAGTTTGACAGTTACAGTTTTACATTCCCAGCTTTACATTTTCTCTACATTTACAGATCGTTTATATGGCAGCTGTATGATATAGTTGTCGGATTTTTATGAAATTTATACCAAAATTCTAGAATAATAAAAAAAGCTTATATCTCAGAGTAGATAAACATACGATGAAAAACAACGAAGCTATAATTTTTTTCCTATTTATTTCTCGATCGTTCCTATGGCAGCTATATGATGTAGTCGGCCGATTTGCATAAATTTTTTACCAAAATTCAGAAATAATATAAAATGGCCATATCTAAAAAATGGAGCAAAATTTTTGAAAAACAGCAAAGTTATAAATTTTTTTCTAGAAATGTATCGTACATTTGTATGGCAGCTATATGATATAGTCGTCCGATCCGGCCCGTTCCGACATATATAGCAGTGAGAGTATATAGAAGACTATATGCAAAGTTTCATTCAGATAGCTTTAAAACTGAGGGACTAGTTTGCGTAGAAACAGACAGACAGACAGACGGACAGACGGACAGACGGACAGACGGACAGACGGACAGACGGACATGGCTAGATCGACTCGGCTGTTGATGCTGATCAAGAATATATATACTTTATAGGGTCGGAAACGTCTCCTTCACTGCGTTGCAAACTTCTGACTGAAATTATAATACCCTGCAAGGGTATAAATATAAAAATATGTATACTGACCAAAAACAAGGTTTATATCAACTTTTTTTGCGTTTACCTATACATAATTTATTTACAATTTTTTACAGCTACAGTTTTACATTTACAGCTTTATATTTTTCCCATCATCAACTGTTTATTTCTATGGCAGCTATATGATATAGTCATCCGATTTTTAAAATGTCTTAATTCTAAATTAATACAAAATAATAGTAGATGATAATATGTTGAAAACATCGACGTTATAATTTTTTCCTATAAACTTCCTGATCGTTCCCATATGATATAGCCGTCAGATTTTTATAAAATTAAAGCAGAAACTTTAAAATAATACTAAATAGCAACCACATGTGCAACATATTCATTTGTCAATATTTAAGGGGGATATACATGTAAACGGTCAAAATGTGGGAATTTTTCGTAAATTTGTTAATATAGGAAATAGTCAATTTGGATATGATACAAAAATTTTGTTATAAACAATATTTTAGAAAATGCCGGACCTATGGAAAATATGCCGCAACGCCTCGAGCTTTGAGTTTCCCGGCTATGGGGACACGATAGAGCTCTTAGTTTGTGTTGGAAATCCTCAAACAACAATTTTTTGTATTCATTATACCTTTACCTTCTATTTGAACCTAAAAAATGTTTTTTTCAGGAATTCATATTTCACTTCCCACCCTCTTAAAAAATAGTAATACTAATATTTATTGCACCCATTTAGGTTCACTCCGATATGTTACATAGTTTTTTGTGAATCGTGTCCATAGCATAGGAAAAAATGGAAAAATTTAAAGCTGAGACAAAGACGATTAAAGTTTTTGATGCGGCCACGTTAACACTTGAATACCTTGCGTGCATGCCTGATTTGTGGCACTTAAAGTTGGAATTCGATAATGAAACTTACACAGTATATTCATTAAGTAATAAACTATTTTTTAAGCCAATAATTAATAAATTTTCCCAACAAATTTTGGTTTACATCTATATCCCCCCTTAAGGTGTTATATACAGTTATGATGATGAAAAAATCGACGTTTTTTATTGCATATTCTTCAAGTATATACTGTCGAGAATATTCTCACAAAAATTCATAACGATCGGAACATTAGAACCGAAGTTGTAACTATTTATAGTGCACGACCTGCACATCGGCTTGAACAAACTTGAAACTTTAAACTCGATTACCTCAGAATCTCATTTTTTCAAACTTACCTTTGCGGTAGACACGATTACTAATCCGATCAACACAAAATTTTGACCACTTATTTATTATAATAATAGCTAGTCTCTAACTATTTTCAATTTTTTTTAAAACTTTTTTTTTATAGCATAAAAATTGAAAATCTTATACCTTGAAAAAGTACATTTTTTGTAAAAACCGTCGCCATTTTTTTTTAAATCAAAATTTTTACAAATCCATGGTCTAGAGGATTAGGCTAACGAAATTTTTTTTTAATTTTTTTTTATTTCGGATGAACCGTTCTAGGGATATGATGTCCACCGCAAGTCACCATCGAAAAAAAGACGATCTCAGAATTCGGCCATAACATTTTTATTATTTAATATTTTTTTATGAAAAAATTTTAGAAAGTACCCAGAAACATGTACTAAACAACGACGGCAAAACATTTTTTATGGTGTCAAAAAAAAATCGATAAAATTGCATTTTTTTTGCGCGGTTCAACTGTATATAACCCCTTAAGTTGCTAATCAATTGTAGCAATTCGACTATTCAAGATTTTACCAATATAAACGATTCTTTTAATTTCACTCGAATTGTTTTTACTATCGGGTATCACATTCAGGCACTCATCTCCAGTTTTGTACTTGTTTTTATTTTTTTTTTCCGACCCATTAAAGTATATACACTCCATATGGTTTTACATAAGTGGCAGCAAGTTAACTATAGGGCAATTTTGTTCAATTTTTTTTAATGCATTAGCTAAGAAAATTTATAGACCAACAAAAATACCAGATGACAATTTAAGACAATAGCAAATATATTGTTCTAACTAACAAAAAATACATTTTCAAATGTATAAGAGGTCTCCTTAAAGATCGAGTAAAAACTCTGTCTCACAGTAAGAATTTCTTATTGCTGGTTTCTATCAGTTATTTCCTAAAACAACAAATTTTAAAAAATTATGGAATTATGTTTCCTACAGTTAATTTTTTGTTGTTTGTGTTAATTTTAAAATTGGAATGCTTTAGTTTACTACATCAATTTAAAGGGTCCGGCAAACATAAATGCAGGAATACTTCGTGAGGACTCCAGAAATGTATATTATATATACATATGCTGCGAATTGGGTCCATTGTTTTTCTGAATCCTCTGATTTTTTAAAACTAAATTAGAGTATCATAACGCCTTTGGTATATACATATGTCAAAACAATCATTTAAGACAAGTACAAATTAATAAAAATAAAAAATTAACTTTGCTGTTATTTAACAAATGGGTAACTCTCCAGATACAGCCACCGCAACTAAAACAGTACAACTTCTTTAAAATCTTTGTCTTCAATATAGTCATTTTAAGAATGGATCAACTATGACGTCGAAATATTAAAAAAAAAAAAGAAAGGAAGCTAACTTCGGCACGCCGAAGTTTGTATACCCTTGCAGATTGGTTTTGATATTTATATTATAAATTCTAATGCTGAAGACACACACAAAACAGAGTTTCATTATATTTTACCTATACTTATTATGTTTACAGTTTGACAGTTACAGTTTCACATTCCTAGCTTTATATTTTCTCTACATTTACCGATCGCTTCTATGGCAGCTATATGATATAGATGTCCGATTTTCGTAAAATTTATACCAAAATTCTATAATAATAAAAAAAGCTTATATCTTAGAGTAGATAAAAATACGTTAAAAAACAACGAAGCAATAATTTTTTTCCTATTCATTTCCCGATCGTTTCTATGGCAGCTATATCTTATAGTCGTCCGATTTTTATAAAATTTTTATCAAAATTCAGAAATAATATAAAATGGCAATATCTAAAAAATGGAGGAAAAATGTTGAAAAACAGCAAAGTTATAATTATTTTTCTAAAAATTTATCGAACATTTGTATGGCAGCTATATGATATAGTCGTCCGATCCGGCCCGTTCCGACATATATAGCAGTGAAAGTATATAGAAGACTATATGCAAAGTTTCATTCAGATAGCTTTAAAACTGAGGGACTAGTTTGCGTAGAAACAGACAGACGGACAGACGGACAGATGGACAGACGGACAGACGGACATGGCTAGATCGACTCGGCTGTTGATGCTGATCAAGAATATATATACTTTATAGGGTCGGAAACGTCTCCTTCACTGCGTTGCAAACTTCTGACTGAAATTATAATACCCTGCAAGGGTATAAAAATTAAAAATATTATACAAAAGGTCATGTTTTGTTTTGATAACAACTTCTAAAAAAGAGGCATTATACTTGGACTTTTGCTTTCTAACATCACTCGAAGAATGCAAGAGTATAAATAAAATGCTTACATGTTTTTCTAATTTACCTAAACTGTAAAAGAAAGAGAAAGAAAGTAAATACTTAATATTTTTGAGTCTAACCAAATACATTATGAAGATTAATATATGCATAATACATTCAAATTGATTGCATTTAAATCTTTAATATTTAATTTTTTATTTATTTATTTTTTTTTTAAAGTGTATTTTGTACGGTCGCGTGTGAGGGCCTTACATTATTGTAATTATCTTGAAAACTTACACTTCTTCAAAATCGATCTAAGCACCAATTATAGTGCTATAAGTTTCAAATTTTGTAAAATTAAAATAAAGTCTTGACATATGTTTTTTTCAGTTTGAATGCGTTCAAATGTCGCGTTCGACTGCAAAACTGTTACTATTAAACTTTTAGCGTAATATCTATAGGTAAATGTAATTAAATTTAACATTACTTCGTTGCCGAAGATAAATTTTTTGTCTTAAATAAAAAAAAGTATAATTGATTGGCTATAAAATCTGAAGTTTTTCTTTAGATACCAATATTTTAAGGGGCGGGTAAGGTATTTAATTTTTTTTTTTTTTTAAATTTTTTTTATTTTTTAATTTGAAAGTTCAACATCTTAAAATTAAATTAAAATTGACGAAGTTATGCAGAGTTGAACGAAGGTCGGTTGGTGTTCAATGCATGAGAATCACAAAGTTTAAAGCGCTCTCCTGAAAAATGCCATTTTGAAAATCGGTGTACACGATAACTCAAAATCTACTGAACCAATCGGTTTTGAACATAACATCTTCAGATAATTCTACAGGTACTCACGTCGGGCTTTTTTAATTTTTAGTTTTATTATATTTATACCCTTGCAGGGTATTATAATTTCAGTCAGAAGTTTGCAACGCAGTGAAGGAGACCTTTCCGACCCTATAAAGTATATACACACCTGATCATATTAATAGGTACATACACAAATTATTTAATTATAGATGGTTTTTTCGTACTTTAAGTGTTGACATCTTTAAAATTTTTGGTTATTTGTTATGGTCTATATCTGGCCAAACTGTGACAAAGAGTTGAACGAGGGGAATCCCCGAATATCAAAGCTTTTCTATAAATTGTGAGTCAACCACACATTTCGCCTGATCATAATAATAGGTACAGTCTCCGTTTCTCATAAATAACAAGTGAATAATTTTGTAATCAGTGATTTTTTGGCAACTTAAGGTAAATTTCGTATAGCTACTATCAATTAAGAGAATTAAATATTTATTTTTTTTAGAAAAAATGGGTCGAAATTCTCATTGTACTAAAGAAGAAGCTCGATTGGTTTTTAGTCTGAGAAAAGATGGCAAATCTTTACGAGCTATTGCCAAATTAATGAAAAGGTCCCATAATTTTGTTAAAAATGAATAAGAAAGGAAACCAAGACAGGAATCCCGTGGAAGGCCAAAAAAAAACAACGGAAACGCTTGACCACTACATAGTATCTTTAAGCAAAAAGGACCCATTTAAGTCATCGAAGGCTATTGCAGCAGATATTGGGAATTCAGTTAGTGCTCCAACTATCCGAAGACGACTACAAGATGCCAACCTACCAGGAAGAATTGCCAGAAAGGTTCCACTTATGCGCAAAAAAAAATATCACCATGAGGCAAACTTTTGCAAGGGACCACAAAGACTGGGTAGGATGCATCGGGGAGAAAAAGTGGAGAAACATTTTATGGAGCGATGAAACCAAGATAAATTTATTTGGGAATGATTGTGAAAGGAATGTTCGACGCCCTAATGGAAAGGAATTTCATCCACGGTTTACAAAGAAAACAGTCAAACATGGAGGTGGTAATATAATGGTATGGGGTTGCTTCTCCTGGTATGGCGTAGGTCCAATTTATCAGACTACGAACAGAATGACTGCTGAAGAATACAAATCCATATTGGAAACAGTTATGGTACCATATGCTGAAGAAAATATGCCATTACGTTGGGTATTTCAGCAAGACAATGATCCTAAGCATACATCAAGGCTTTTATCTAAATTCTTTGAGGACCAAAAAGTTGACGTTCTGAAGTGGCCAAGCCAATCCCCCGACCTAAACCCCATATAAAACTTGTGGGGAGATTTAAAAAAGAAATTGGCAAAGTATTCATTTTCAAATAAAGCACAATTATGGGATGGTGTCCAAAAATTGTGGTATGAAACACCAGTAGAAACCTGCCAGGCTCTTATTAAAAGTATGCCAAAAAGAATAGCAGTAGTGACCAAAAATAGAGGTGGATACACTGGATACTAAGTTAGTAAATACAAATTTAGAAAAAAAAAAACGCAAAATATATATTTAAATTTATTTTTCTCATCAACACTTGAAGTGTACCTATTATTTTAATCAGACTGAAAACGTATCTAAGACACAAAATGATCTCCTTTTTGTTATATTATTATCCTATGTTACAATGAAGTTTATTTGATTAAAAACAAATAGTTTAAGAACCAATGAGACCAAATTTTAAGTTTAAAATAATGAATAAAACTATTTTCTGTAACCTTAAAGTCTGAGTTGATGTATGTACCTATTAATATGATCAGGTGTGTATATTCTTGATCAGCATCAACAGCCGAGTCGATCTAGCCATGTCCGTCTGTCCGTCTGTCCGTCCGTCTGTCCGTCTCTCAGTTTTAAAGCTATCTGAATGAAACTTTGCATATAGTCTTCTATATACTCTTACTGCTATATATGTCGGAACGGGCCGGATCGGACGACTATATCATATAGCTCCCATACAAATGATCGATAAATTTTTAGAAAAAAAATTATAACTTGGCTGTTTATCAACATTTTTGCACCATTTTTTAGATATGGCCATTTTATATTATGTTAGAATTTCGGTATCTTATAGCTGCCATAGGAACGATCGGGAAATTAATAGAAAAAACATTTTAACTTCGTTGTTTTTCAACATATTTTTATCTACTCTGAGATATAAGCTTATTTTATTAGTTCCGAATTTTGGTATAAATTTTATGAAAATCGGACAACTATATCATATAGCTGCCATAAAAACCGATCGGTAGATGTAGAGAAAATGTAAAAGTGGGAATGTAAAACTGTAACTATCAAACTCTCAACATAATAAGTATAGTTAAAATTTAATGAAATAATATCTGCAAGGGTATACAAACTTCGGCGTGCCGAAGTTAGCTTCCTTTCTTGTTTTTATTTAACAAATTAACTAATTTTTGGAGTCAAAAATCGGGGTTTTGACTTCAAATTTTGATAAAAAATCGGGAAAAAATTTTAAAAATAAAAACGCTTTGTGAATACCTCGGGACACTTATCCTTTAACGAATGAGGTATAATTTTTTTAGATCGTATGATTCTGTGGACTGTTAGTATGTACACCGCAAACCAACTTTTTTTGCAGGCGACTCGGGAGATTCCCTGTAACTCCTCTACCTCTAAATATTTTTCAATACAAAATTTATCATAAACTGTTTAAATGTTGTGTTATTATATGGTATTTAATTCGTTAGCTAGCTTTAGCCGTTTCGCCACAACATTTTATTGAAAAGTGGGCATTTTTGCACCGAATTGCACCCCCCTTAAGGCAAGGTGAAATCTCTCAAAATCAAAGAAACTGATATAGGGAAAAGCCAAGATCCAAGATCTCGTTTCTTTTCTATCTCTAATGTTAAAGAAGTTACCCGATAAATCGAAATGGGCATAAAAACAGAAAGGTCGGTCGAAACTGATAATGAGCAGCAAGTATTCGGAATTTACAAAGCCGTACCAAAAGTTAAAAAATCATGTGTAAATATTAATTGTAACATTCCTTTTAATTTAATTATATTATATAATTTAAAATTGTGATATTAATACATTGTTATTATATTTTACTTTATTAATTTAGTTTTTATCCAAACGCAGAAGATTCAATGCTGAAATAAAGATATCAAACAGAAGCTACAATTTGGAGCAAGTGTTTAAGAAATCTCTTGATCTTTCTATTACATTAGCGCTAAATGCGGACAAGCTGTAACCCTCATCAGAATATTATATGAAAAATTCAATGATGGTGAGAGTGATCTGTATATATATTTTGTTAATACATGTAGATGTGAGATGTAATTTGCAAACATTTACCTTCTGGCTCTTTTGATATAACTGTTGTACTGCGATCAACGATTCCTTTTTTATCTTCTAAGGAAAAAACAAAAAAAAAAAAAAAACGGTACAAATATTGTTTTTTGAAAATGTATTAAACTTTTTCCAATATTGTTGTGCGATCCGTGTTTATAAATTATTATCAAAGCGACAAAAGAAAGCCTACATTGATGTACATACATAAAATATAAAAACAAAAAATCCTACATTGATGTGTTGATATTTAAAAATATATTTACACATGTTATACGCTTAAGTCAAAGACTAACGAAAATATATATGTATATACAAATTAATACATAGCTCATTAGTATTAGATATGTAAGTTCATTAATAAAAAAAAAACACATTTATGTTGACAATTCTCAAACTTTAATAATAGGCTCCAAAAGTTATTTTTCTAGTTGTTGTATTGCCCGCTGATGTGCTTCACTATTGCAGAGTGTTCTATATACAATCTAAATTTATTATTGACCTAAAATTGTTGTCAATATGTTCCAAAGATATTGACAAGATTGAGGATAAATAAAAATAAAAATAAATTTTTTTTTCGATGTCTGAAAAACATCATTAAAAACATCAATAGTTTGATAGCTCTTATGTCACATCTAAAAGGTGTTTTGCCCTGCTGCCTAAAACTCCGGGTCATTCGTTTTTGATTGTGTGTGTTAAGAAATCGAGAAAAAAGACAAATGCAAGAACTTGGGCAACCACTTGGTCATTGACCAGTTTTGAAGGCTAGATGTTGCTAAGAACAGGGAAGAGGGTTTTAGAGATATGTAAGTTAAAGTGCGTAGTAAATCACGAGATACTGAAAAATCTTAATGCTCATTTGTTCATTCATTTTATACATAAGGTTTTAGTTCGATTGACTGTAGCCGTTTTATTAGCTTTTATTGATATAATGAACTATTTTATATATATTAGAATGAACGATTTATTTCCTGGAGGTTTGTTCAGTTTTACCAGAGTTGAATGCCAAACAAATTCTAAGACAACGATAATAAGCGTGAGTATAATAATAAAGCATGCATATGGCTAACACGAGTAGATTGTAGAACGTGCTGGTATATAATTCAAGAATGCGCTTTAAACAAAAATAAAATAATTTAATTTTCCTTACTGGGTCAACGAATGATATGATGATATTTTTTACCTAAAATACCATGTCTTTTTATGAAAAATCTAGCGTTTTTTATAAATCCCTGACATACTAAACTAAGGTACATCATTTAAAAAGGCGAAAATTCTCCAACTAACTATAAATAAGTTGAAAACACCGAATTACATGAATATTTACCCTTTATATCATCATCCTCGATGGTAGTGCTGGAAGAGTCCGTAGACTCCTTGACTTGAGATCCGTCGCCTTTTTTGGTAATCATACTTCTACCTGTAACAAATTATTTTAAAATTATTATAAATTATTGAAAGTTAAAAATAAAAAAAAAAGCTAATGCCAATTCACTTTTGGTATCGATATATAACTCATATAAGCTTAAGCTATTAATGATTAATGATGCAATGATTTAGTGTCATAGTTCAATAGGTGAGAGACTTGTAATGTTCATACACAGGCATACAAGTATATAAATATTACATTACAATACAAAAAATTGTTTTCATTTGTGTAAGAAAATAATATAAAAGACAAATATAAAGATAATACATAAAATTTAGTTACTTGAAAAATTTCGAGTAGCCAGCATAGTTGTAAGTATAGCACCCTTAAGCTTGCGTCGTGCATTAAACTTCTTGAGACAGTCAACCGTTTCTTGACGATGTACCACGGATGCCACACGCTCTCGTTGCTGTAAAAAAAAATTTAAATTTTAAAAAATATAGTATGTAAGACATATGCCTTGATAAAGTCTCTCATTTACAACTTACACATATCCATGGATGTTTCAAAGCCTCTGCGGCGGTTATTCGTTTATTTGGATTTACCGTAAGCATTTGATTAATAAGATTCTTAGCTTCTGGTGTTACTGTATCCCATTCGGGCGAGGGATACTTAAATATGAAATAAGAAATTAGATAACAAAATAATAAATGTACATATAAACGAACAGAATTATGAATATAATTTAATAGGACTTACATCATAGGCGCCTGCTTTGATCTGGGAATACAAACGATGCTGATCTTCATCCCAGAATGGCGGATAACCAACCAAAAGGATGTAAAGAATAACGCCTGTGAAATAAAAATAAAAATGATTGAACATTCCCTACTTTTAAAATATAAAATCTTTTTTCTAATATCTTTTGGAAAGCGATTTAGACAATTTACTTTAACCGCTTATTTACAGAGTCACAATATTTGTAAAGGATTATAAATATGTTCCGTACTATGAACAGGGTATAACTCATTTACACTAAAGTGTTTAACCCAGAACGGCATAGAGAAAATCAGAAGCCTCCTACCTTAGTTTTGTCTTGTGTTTGGACATTATGGCGGTTTAACTGGGATTCAAACCACAGGTTATTGTCGTAACAAGTGCTAACTGGTTGAGTCTGCTTAATTTTTACGTTCCGAGTAGAAATACTAGATCCTTGATGCCTTTATGATTGGATTAAAATGTACTGAACTGAATAAAAAAATTAAACGACGACTAGTTGATAATATCAACCTTGGGAGACCATGGTGAGGTTCTTGGATTTGGTAGGAAAAATACCGAAAATCCACTATAAATCGAATAAACATTGCCTGGACGCATTAAGGGGGGATATACATGTAAGCGGTCAAAATTTTGACATTTTTCGTGAATTTTTTTTATAGGAAATAGTCAAGCACTCGTCGTAAGACTTTGGGGATAGTTAAAAGTAGAATCGGAGATGATACAAAAAATGAGTTATAAACAATTCTTTAAAAAATGGCGGACCTATGGAACATGTGCCGCAGCGCCTCGAGCTTTGAGTTGCCCTGCTATGGACACGGTAGAGCTCGTAATTCCTGTTGGAAATCCGCAAACAAATTTTTTTTTTGTATTCATTACACCTTTACCTTCTATTTGAACCTAAAAAACCAAAAAGAAATTGTGACAACAAAAATTAATTTTTTTTTTTAATGAAAAAATGCCATTTTTAGGTAACACAGGTACACAGCCAAAAATTTCCACGAACCATTTCAAGTTTTCCATGATATTTGGGTGCTCCTGAGTAAAAGTCCCATACAAAATTATTTTCCATCACCTACAGGTTCCGCGGTATACCTAAAAATACAAAAAACCTATGTTTGCCGACATTTTGAATTACGTGGCCTATATAATTGGACTTACCTTTATTATTTTTGGTAGGACCTACTCTCAATACATCACGGCACTACTAAAAAATAGTCCCAATCGTGAACCATTGCCCATGTCTTTGGAATTCGACGCCAAAGTTGAAACTCCCAAAATTTTCAGCATTTCTGTGATGAAAAATCAATTCTGAGAATTAAATCTTATATGGAACTAATTTTAAATATTCATTGAATCTATTGTTCATTGTATTCTTTAATTTCGGTTTAAAGCGTTTTCATGAGGACATTTTATTGGATTTATTAAACGAATAAAACAGCTTTTTTTGGTTTTATTATCTACTCCTATTTGCTGTCAAATTTTAAATAAGTCAAGGCAACCTATAAAATAGTAGTAGATATGTTTCTTTTTATATATAATATACATTTTTTCTTTTTGACTAAACTTAAATATGTAAGGATTATCGCTGGCTACTAAGCTGTCTTAAAAATGTTATGTTCGGAATACATTTTTATTTAATATAAAACTAAATTTATATTACATATAAAAAGAAACATATCTACTACTATTTTATAGGTTGCCTTGACTTATTTAAAATTTGACAGCAAATAGGAGTAGATAATAAAACCAAAAAGCTGTTTTATTCGTTTAATAAATCCAATAAAATGTCCTCATGAAAACGCTTTAAACCGAAATTAAAGAATACAATGAACAATAGATTCAATGAATATTTAAAATTAGTTCCATATAAGATTTAATTCTCAGAATTGATTTTTCATCACAGAAATGCTGAAAATTTTGGGAGTTTCAACTTTGGCGTCGAATTCCAAAGACATGGGCAATGGTTCACGATTGGGACTATTTTTTAGTAGTGCCGTGATGTATTGAGAGTAGGTCCTACCAAAAATAATAAAGGTAAGTCCAATTATATAGGCCACGTAATTCAAAATGTCGGCAAACATAGGTTTTTTGTATTCTTAGGTATACCGCGGAACCTGTAGGTGATGGAAAATAATTTTGTATGGGACTTTTACTCAGGAGCACCCAAATATCATAGAAAACTTGAAATAGTTCGTGGAAATTTCACAAAGTTTAATTTTGTGTTCCTGTGTAATCAGATTTCACTTCCCACTCTCTTAATAAATAGCAATACTTATTTTTATTACCACCATTTAGGTTCAAATAGAAGATAATTTCATGCTGATCATAATATTTTTTGATTCACTGCGATATGTTACGTAGTTTTTTGTGAATCGTGTCCAAAGCATAGGTAAGAATGCAAAAATTAAAAGCTGAGAAAAAGACGTATAAAGTTTTTGATGCGCCCACGTTAACACTTGTATACCTTGCGTGAATACTTGATTTGAGGCACTTCAAGTTGGAATTCGATATTGAAACTTAGACAGTATATTCTTTAAGTAACAAAGTATTTTTTAAACAAAAAAAAAATTTGTCCAACAAATTTTGGTTTACATGAGTTTTTACCGAAACGAAAATTGCTAATAATTAATTATTTTTTACAGATTATTTTGGGACCTTTGATTTTATGTAAAGAAAATATTATAAGTACAGGTGTATTTATAAAAGCGTTCTTACCACAAGCCCATATATCTACCGATTTTCCATACGGTTCTTTTTTCAATACTTCCGGCGATAGGTAACCCGGGGTGCCAGCAAATCCAAACCATGCCTGATGATCGCCTTGCACTTCAATGGCTAGACCAAAGTCAGCGAGTTTCACAGCTGCACCCTTTGCCTTACTAGCTAATAGTAAATTCTCAGGCTTAAGATCACGATGCACCACACCATTTTGGTGGCAGTGATTGACCGATTCCAATATTTGTTGAATACAATGTGATGCATCAGCCTCTGAATAAAACTCGCGGGCAACAATATCTTCGAAAAGTTCGCCACCAGTTACACTGTAAAATTTTGTTTGTTTTTAATTAGATAAAGAAAAAAAAATTAATTTAAAAAAGTACCTAAGGCTAATAAAGCTGTTCGTTTTTAATGTTACTTTTATTTTATGTTTTAATTAAGAGTAGTTATTTGATTGGGAATATTTTGCATTTTCTATAAAAGAAAGAAAACAGGAAATAGGGTACTCTGTTTTTTTTTTTTTTTTTTTATAATTGTGTAATCAAAGGATGGAGTATGAACCTCAGTAAACAATAGTCGAGTCATTGCGACATCATTTTTATAGAAAGAGTCGTTTAAAAGTTTATACGTTTTGCTTACAGATCAAAGACCAGGTAGTGATAGTTTTCCTCTTGTATACTGTCATGCAAACGCACTGAAAGCATAAGATTTTGTTACTTTTATGTATATGCCTATATGCAATAATAAATAACAAATAACCCATACCTATGTTGGGGTGATGAAGTTTTCTGCAGATTCTTGCTTCACGTTCCAATTTTTGAAAGTCTAAAAAAAAATATTAACGAAATTGTAATTGATTTGTCGATATACTCTTCCATTATTTCCATTAAATAATTTAACTTTTTCAGACAAATATGTAACTAGAACCATTGCTTTACATTGAATTTGGTAAGAAGTAAATATTTGTATGTACTTATGTACATACATGTATGTATATACACATTTATTCTTACCTCTTGCTGTCAACTTTTTGGTATTTATAATTTTTGCAGCAAACTCAAATCCAGTTGATTTCTGCACACATCTTTTAACTATTGAAAATGCGCCTCTGAAAAATATAATAGTTGTATTACACCATTTTTTGTATCTACGTACTTATACATATGTATATATATGTACATAACTTACTTTCCCAGCTCTTCCTTGATGTCATAGTTGTCGGAAAAACGCGTACAGGCTGCTGGTGCAGCCATCGCGATGGCACACTTAAGAAAATCTATTGCGACTATGTAAAAATTTTACAAAGAATTGTCAACAAAAGTTTGTTTTGTTCTATTTAAACTTTTTTTTCACAAGATTCTGTTGCTTTTAAGTTTAAGGCTTCAATTGAGTTCAGTTTATTCATTCAGTTTGTTTAACTGCAAATAAATCAAATAAGTTTACATTTTTTTAGTTTTTTTTTATAGATGGAAATAAACTTATTTACAAACATACTAATTCGTAAATACCTATGCAAGTTTACTTTAAATAATAAAACGTAGTTTATTCTTTTTTGATTTTACATATATAACGTTTTTAAATAAAGGTAAAAAAAAAATAGTTAAACTGGTTTTTGCATATTACATTTGTTGTATTTTGTTTATGCATTTTATATCATCAGTTTAGTCGGCAAAGCTCTGAAAAAATGTTCATATTTGTTTTAGCATGTGGTTCTCATAACACCGTCTGGAATTATCAATTTGAGCAAATGATAAAAATTAGCTAACGCCAAAATTAAATACCTCACTGATGGCTAAATAAACCAAACCATCTTAATTATGTATTTAATCAACTTTTCTTCATGCCAAATTATTTAATACATTGCGTCTTGAAGCATAAATTAAAAATAAATTGATTTTTTGAATTTAGGGGGGATCACTTGGATGTTTTAGGGAAAAAGACTAATTTCCATCAAGCAACACTGCTTTAAAGACGAATTACAGAAAATATGGATGATGTATCGCGATAATTAGACGATATTTTCAACTGATAACAGCTGTTCCCATACAAACTGCTGAAAATATCAACCAATCACCACGATAGTTGCCGATATTTTCAGTTATTCAGACATTCAGAATATACCGTTATTATTTAGAATTTTATTTGTTTCCGTAATTGTTAATTAAACTAAACTATTAAAATGAAATATAAAAGGTATTATGAATGTAATTTATGTATTTATTTATATGGTAATTTAGATGAATGGATCGGTATATAAAAACCACTCTGCGTTAACTTTAATATACAAATTTTGTAAGTATGTAAATATTTTTATACAAGAGGTATGGACATCCATACATACATATATGCGGCTAATTACATTTGGTGAAACGTCCGTAAATTTTCAGAATTTTGTATTTTTTTAACTTTTTGATAAGTAAATAGAGATAAGATAAAACAACAAAAACTGTACGAAAGCTTAGCAGCACTACGACAATAATTCAGTTTGTCACAAAAACTTAACAGTCATAAGCTCCGCTAGGTTGCCGATTTTAATTATTTACTCTTTCATTTGTATACAAACATACATACATATATATGTACATAATTATATAGGTACATTCAGATAATCCACATACATAGGAACACTGCACTTTTTTCATGTACATATGTACATAATTCAAATTCGAAGAGAGCGACAGGTGCTTTTTTAGAATAAAGTTTATTTTTATTTGAAATGAAGTCTTAGATAGTGTCTTAGAGTGTGTAAATATGTACATATGTATAGATTGGGCGTATTAAATGTATGTACATACAACTGTGGGTACAGATCCTTTTGCAAGTTTCATTTCCAAATGTACCCAATTATGTACATATGTATGTGGGGAGCTTTTTGTACAAAGCTCTCTTTCTTATAACAAGGATATGTTAGCCATTGAGCAGAACTTGTTGCAAATAAAAAAAATGGGTTTTTTTAAAATATTTTTTCAGATTTATAAATTGGCTTAAGGTTTCCATTTTATTGGGTTTTATAAAAATATATATGTTTGTGCATATGTATGTATACATATTAGAACATACATATGTACAAATCCAGATTTATGGTAAATTGTATTTACATATTTATAAGTACATTATTAAGGCATGTTTGACAAAAAATCTCTCCTTAAGAAGTTTAAAATAAGTTGGTATTAATACATACATACATATGTATATGGATTGACACATATACATAGGCGATGCAATTAGTTGCGATAGAAGGATTTTAACACAATTTTTAAATATGTACATGACTTTTTATGTACATACATCATACATATAGAGAAAAATATTTATACATCAATATGTACATTTGTATGTATGTATGTACATGGAAATTTTTTCGAAATGTGTGTCAACTCAGAAAATTTGTATTTTCCTATACGTACGAACATATGCATGTATAAATATATGTATGTGGATATGTAAGTACATATGTATATATGTAAATTTGAAAATATGCACAAATAAATGAAAATAATAAGTATTTATTTCATAAAGTGTTGGTACCTAATATTCGTTTTTGGAATGACACAATTGTCGCCAGATATATGAATGTTCTCGTTACCGTTCCCGTTATTCAAATAAAAATATCTACATATGTATGTATGCACATAATATGTATATGTTAGCTAGGGGCACACACACACTATTGACGAGTACAAATCTATGTATGTATGTTGATGCACAACGTACACAGAATTATTTTTAAGGAAACGTCCGTTTGCTCGAAAATCGAATTCACTACTAACACAATTTTCTTGAGGCCCCCTTCGAAAAACGGAATGGAAAAGCTTTTTCCCTCTGCCGAATTTTCATCGTGGAAACAATGGTCAAACACATTCGAATATACAACGAGACCGATAAACGCCGTTGTTCCGGGATTCTGCGCACTAATTTGTAAAAGTATCCTGGAATTGTAGAATAATTTGACATATGTAAGTAGATACTTATGTATCATGTGGAAGGCGGTGGAATATATTTAAAAACATAACAATGAGACAAACACGCAAAAAATCCCGACGTAAAGTCATTTAAATTTACATTTCCGGATGTAGATTTTAATGCTTATATGTATGTTTATACATTAAACAGCATCTGTTCCACTATTAATAACTTTTAAAGTTTTAATCGGTCATCAATAAAAAAAACTTTGACATAACCTAAGATATTTATAAGCAAATGTTCAGAAAAACAAGAAAGGATGCTCAATTCGGCACGCCGAAGTTTGTATAGTTTCCAGTTTGCAATTGGATCATTAAGAATGGATATGTTCTGGTCAAATTAATGGATAAAATAACAGGAATTATATACAAAATTTATATTTATACATAGAATATAATATTTTGGTTTTGATAAAATTAAAAAAAAAAATGTTTAATCGTATAAAATATAATATAATATGCTGAAAAAAAACAAAAGTAATATCAAATATCATTACATTTACCCATACTTATTATATTTACAGTTTGGAAGTTTCACACTCCAATATTTTAATTTTCCTCTACATCTACCGATCGTTTCTATGGCAAGATATATATATGTAATTGTCCGATTTTAATAAAATTGAAGCAAAATTCTGAAATAATAAAAAAACACCATCTCAAAAAAGATGAAAATATGTTCAAAAACAGCGAAGTTATAATTTTTTTCTACAAATTTATCGATTATTTCTATGCCAGCTATGTTCATATATTATATAGTCGTGAGATCCGGTTCCGACTACTAGTGAGAGTAGAAGACCATCTTCAAAGTTTTATTTAGAACTAAGTTTGCGTAGAGACGACAGACGAACGGAGAGACGGACATGGCAAGATCGTCTCCGCTGTTGACGCTTCACTTTATAGCAGAGCTCACAAATACCATTAAGCGTTTGTTGTAGTAAAAAAATAACTGTTATTTAGGTACCACTTGCGCAATATGTTAGACAAGAACCGTTCACCAGTGTCTCTTGAACAATTCGTTCTGCGTTCATTCAAAGACCACTTGCGTATTTCTCTTTGCGCTGTTCAGCTTCTGCTGCTTTGACTCATGCATAATGTTACCAGAAAAATGTTCCCAGGAATTCTCATTGACACTTGTATACGTGTGGTATCCGTAATAATAATATAATAATAAAACAAACAATAAAATCAAAAGACGGGCTAAGATAAGTCTTTCCTTCTTTCGGTCCTCTGCTGACTAACAATGTGAGAACGTTCAGTCGGATCGCTCTCCCTAAGTTGTTGTTGAATAAGCGAAAAAAAAACAAAAAACAAGCAACTGAGAACCGTCAAACGAAAACAAAAACGAAGAGAAAAGAAAAGTTCTGTTCAGAGCAAGAAGCACACATGCTCTTTTTTTCGTTGTGTTAGTACGTACACCGCAAGACGAAAAACGGTCAACTGATTGAAATGTCTTTTACTGCGTTGCAAACTTCTGAATATAATTATAACAAGAAAGGAAGCTAACTTCAGCACGCCGAAGTTTGCATACCCTTGCAGTTTGCAATTGGGTCGTTAAGAATCTATCCATTCTGTTCAAATTAATAGAAAACAAAGGCAATACATAAAAGCTGATATTTATAGGAAACTCAACGTGGCGACCATCCTGAGGACTACAACCTCCTCCAATCCAAGAAGCAGCTTCATACTTCCAGTTGTATCGTCAATGTAATCCGTTCCTGTATTCAGATGGCGTCATGAGATCATGCGCCATTAATCCAGTTTGTTATGGTGCTTCTCATTCGGACGAGATTTTAAAACTGCAAGCCGTCATCAAAAGGGTAACTACAACCTGCATTCACACTCCGGAAAAAGGTGCAGGCTCAATTAATGGGTGATTACCTATGTAAGTCCAAAAGTACGTTTTCCCACTCTTTATGGATACTGGGCTTGAATTTGCGGGACCTTTCGATGTAAAGATCTACTCTGGTCGCGCCAGTTGAAATACCAAAGGCTATGTGTGCGTCTTTGTTTGTTTTTGTACGAAGGATATACAGTTAGAAGACACCTCTGACTTTACCAAGGAGAAATTTCTCGGAGCCTTCTCAAGGTTTGTGACCAGGAGAGGATATCCTCTCCATCTCTACTTCGACAGCGGAAGCGCCTTTGTGGGCGCGGAAAAATCCCTCACTAAGGACTTCCTCGCCACACTGAAATCACAGGTTACCTCGCCGTTTAGCCCTTGATCGTTCCAATGCGGCCCCACGAGCAAGCGGCAACTTGCTAACTTTTAGTAAAACGGAACACAAACTAAAAATCATTTTTTATTTTTTATATTTAAAAGTTTATACTTGTATTTATATATATTATCTAATGTTATCTGAATGTTATCTTCCACCTTCTTTTCCAGAAAATCATCGATATACGCTGGTAAAAAAAGTTTTAAGTAAATATGGTTTTATGATTTTTAAATAAATACATTCAATTTACATTAAATATATATTTCTAGGTCATGCGTTTTGTCAAAACTTGAACGCGTTTAGCATTGCAGCTTTTGCAGAGAACATGATCATCGAGCGGATAACATCCGCGGCCTTCAGCTTCGGATGAGAGTAGAAGTCCACAATCCTATTAAATATAGGAAATCCTTATTACGCGATATTTAGAAATTCAACAAAATATTTAGTAAACCATCATATATCTGAGCTCGCTAAATATACAATTTGCATTTTTGCGTTGTCCCCAAAATAATAAAGGACTGAAAAAAATTGACAGCTGAAAGCAGCTGTTCCCATACAAATTCTTCATACGATATTAGCATTAATTCAGCGACTCCGAGGTCCCTAAAAATATTGACTGAATGACTAAAAAGCCAGTTTGGCTCCATAGTTCATACAAATTCAGATTAATTTTTGAAAACAACATCAGTCAAGTGGCCGCCTTTAATGCCCATTGATATCGACTTCTATGAGTTTTTTGAGTCAGCACAACTGAACGACTATTTAAGCGCGTTTTTTCGGAGTGAAGCGATTCATGATTAAAATTTTGTTGAACTAAGGTTTTTAACACTAGTCTACTCAAGTCAATCGGTTCACTAATGACAAAGTTATTCAATGCTGACATGCAGACATAAAAGATGGCGCACTCTGTATAGAATACAAAATGCATGTCCTTGTCTTGCGACTAACTTTTTTTTTTTTTTTTTTTTGAAAATATAGTGAGTTTTTTTTGGGTCGTTCTCTATCCTGAAAATATCGGCGATACTTTCATTAATTCAGTCTTCCTGTTTTTAAAAGAGCTCTACAATACTCCCAGATCACTCTGTATAGGAGAATACAAAATGCATGTCCTTGTCTTGCGACAAACTTTTTTTTTTTTTTTGAAAATATAGTGAGTTTTTTTTTTTGGGTCGTTCTCAATCCTGAAGATACTTTCATTAATTCAGTCTTCCTGTTTTTAAAAGAGCTCTACAATACTGCCAGATCAAGATTCAAATGGTTCTAATCGTCCGTTCTAATCTCCTTGCGCGCTACACTCTGGGTGCTTATCGTTATAACATGACTGCCGTTCACAGTGATATTATATTTAAGTCCGAAGTTTTTTTTTATGGAGTTCAATAACGGTTGTGGGGTGCTGCGACACCATATCAGTAGACGCCATACCAGATCAATGTTACCAAAAATATTAAAGGCATTGAAGCATCAATGGTTTTTCACCTTTAAAGTTGGTTTGTACCAAAAAATGTTTAGTATAGAAGCGATGATTTTTTATCCTAGATAACTTATTAGTTTTTAAGTTGGTGGATATTTTACAGTTTTTAAAGACCGAAATTAAGCGCTTAATGTTTTGTTGACTTTACTGATATTTACGAGCTTTGATCAAAATTATATGCATTAAAAAGGCAAAAATATAAATTTAGCTTGCGTTTACCTCGCATTTGTAACACTCGAGGTGAAAACTTCGATCTAAAGCCACAACTCGAACGGTTTCCTCTTGGCCAATCTCTGGCATAATTGGTTGCTTGCAGACACAGCAGCGTGGGGCAAATTTTCTAAATTATATTTGTGATAAAATCATTAAATTTTCTGCAATAAATTAATAATGCGGAAGACTTACTTGTGGAAATCAGTAATGCAATAGTTTTGATTCGTGGCGTCGACAGTAAATAGTAAACCATCCAAACTCTTGCCACACACAACACATGTGAAGCACTGCGGATGATATGGCTTCCCGGTGGCTCTAAGAATTCTTTCCAAAATAGGCTCCATGCAAACGGAGCACTTCTCAAGGGTCTGGAGATAATCATATTCACAAAAGGGTTTGCCATCCAAAGCATAGAATGGTTTTCCTTGTAAATTGATCTGGCATTCGGTGCATGTAAAGCAGGAAATGTGATAGATTTGATCCATTGCTGTGCAGCCGCTGCTTTCGCCCAAAACTCGGGAGTTGCATTTGACGCACCTACCTAAATAAATATTTAGTACTTATTTAAAGTGTTATGACTGTTATTCGGATTCGGATTTCCCTGACCTGTTCTAGTTTTCACTTCCGAAAAATTCTTACGGATTTGCATTTCCCTCTGTTAATTTGCAGGCGAAACGCTCGGAAACTTTCCGTGTGCCATTGTATTTGTTTGGGAATTTAAGGGAAATTAAAAAAAATTTCCTTAAATCACCAAGGGAAATTTGCTTATGTTAAAGGGAAATCCGCAAATGTTATCAAAATCACTTCCGAGTGGAAACTAGAACAGGCCTGATAGTAACTTTCTGGCGCTTGAAAAATCGAATCAAATATAAATTCTAAATATACATATACAATGTTAAAAAAAAATGGTGATAGTAAGTAGTAACATTCATGGTTTATATTAATAATAAGAGATGCTTTTATAAATTTCTTACCATAGTTTTCGAACTCTTGTGGTGTTGCAATCGATGAATCCTCTGAAATCAAGTTGCTCCCACTCAATTTATTCTGATACGTAGTATTACCAATTGTGTAATCTTCAGTTGGCAAACTGGTATTATAAGAAGTACTCGAAATATTTGGAGAATTGCAATCATTAATGAATGAACCATATAAATTACTACTACAATCCCTTGGAAAATGATCACCAGATGGACGAGGGCTTATAGGTTCATATATGGAATCATATGTGGAAGTGCTCTGTAAAGGATTATACATATAGTCCTACATTTATACCCTTGCTAATTATATTATGATATTAGTAAAGAGTTTGGTACGCAGTAAATGAGATATTTGCGACCCTATAAAGTATATATACGCTTGATTATCATAAGCAAACTAGTCCCTTGTCTTAGAGCTATCTGAATGAAACTTGCAGACTTCCTTCTATTACAGACATATATATCGAAATGGGCCTAATCGGGTCACCATATCATAAAAATAATCTTAAATGTTTTAGAAAAAAGGATTACTTGTCGATGTTGAATTTTAAATTAATTTAGTTTTTTAAACGAATCAGATAAAGAAATATATTGAAAAATGTTTTTCCACAAGTATAATGTTACAATGATTTTTGTCCAGCTCTAGTAACAGTTGAATAGTATTGTGGGGAAATTAAAGGTAACTCCATACTTAGAGGAAAATAAATAACGAAAAACCTTTGAGGGGGCGTTAATTCTGTGCAAATCGGGTCACTTTTCAAAAAATTGTTGTGGAGAAACGGCTACAGTTAGTTAGCCTAATAAATTAAGTACCAGAAATAAATAAATTTTTAAATATAACAAAATTAAAAGTAAAAACCAACCTGGGTACCTGTAGAATTAGTTTAAAAAGGTATGTATCAAATTTCAAAACGATTGGTCTAGTAAATGTTAAGTTATATTGAGTATTCCTAGGATATTGGACAAATATAATACAGCATATGGATAATTCCACAGAAATGTACAACACAGACAAACAATTCAAAGTTTTATAACATCTTTCTTTGTAATACGGTTACACGAAAGTGATCCAGTTGATCAAAAACTCTAAAACACATATTGAAAATTAGAATGCAATAGTAGGGTAAGTTTTGTCTTGATAATAACTTATAAACCAGAGGCATTATGCTTTCACTTTGGCTTTCTAACATCACTCAGCGAATTCAAAGACTTGAAAATAACCTCAAAAGAAATATGCAATTACCATAAGGGTAATATTTTGATTTGTATTGTCGCTTTCTTTCATGTCCCGTGCGCGATGTTCCGTTCGTATTTACGTCATATTAAATAAAAGAGACATCAGTGCACTATCGTTTCAAATTAGTTGCTTTTAAATATTGCTTCTGGATTCGAATAAATTGGCGATTGAATTGGTCTTTATAGTCTGAATGTTCTTGTTTCACACGGACGTGCTTGCGATCATGACTAAATCGACTGATCAAGATTATATATACTTTATACTTCTTCTGTCGGCTACATAAATTCTAGGTGACTTTAATACCCTTATACACAAAATGTATGGGTAAACAAATAAAATTATGTTGTATAATTAAAAAAATACTCGTATAATACCTGGGATACTCGACCGTAGCCATAATAAAGTTTTGTGTTAGCATTTGGCTTGACAGTATTCTGCAATTATCATTTAAAAGGGTTTTTTGTAATTGGGAAAACAAAATATTAAAAATAATTTAATTTATTACGCTTATGCCTAGATAAACTAAAATTTTCTTTTATATGTTAGTTAGGGTTTTCATGATTTTTTAGGGCGAAATTAGACTTGTCAAAATTTTATAACAAACTCGATCTGAGTGCAACAGATATAAATATTATAAACAAAGTAAAGAAAGCGGTAGTTTAAGCTCGCACAGTCTATTCGATGTTTTCTTATACGGACGGACAAAGGGGCATGGCTAAATTGAGTGGATGGTGATGTTGAGCAGGAATATATACACTCTATGGGGTCGGAAATGCCTGTTACTTACATTTTCGGTTGGCACAAGGCTATAATATATAGGTTAGGTTAGACCGGACGGCCCTAGAGGGACCACACATAATATATAAGTTATACCAATTTCTTCACCCAACATTTTCCAGAACTAATTGATTTTTAAAAAATTCAAGTAAGTACAATATTTTACTAAGGCTATATATAGCTTTTGATTGGCAAATTGTTTCAAGGATCGAACAACCTTAAGCTGATTTTTGATTCTGTGTGTATATTTAGTAGTTCCCTTGCGCACACTTTCGGTACTCATTGTCACGTGTATGACCGTCCACAGGGATTGAAAAATTTGCATACCTTACTGACGGTACCCTTTGGTTGTTGGATCGGGTACTGATTGACGTATGTTTTTAAATGTTGACTTTTGGAATTTAAATTATTTTGTAACGAATTATCCATTGAAGATTTGTTGCTAAGCACATTAGACGACGCACGTCTTAGCTCGCTGTAAGAAGAACTAACAGCACTCACAGGGCTTGGAGGTGGCGGCACGTCATCCTCTCTGTCATCTTCCGATTGTATGTTAGTGCACACTGAAAGCAACTTATGGGTTGTAGACTCTGAAACTAATAATATAAGACAGACAAGTCAAAAAAGGTTTAAAGTCTTTTTTCTTTTACCTTTTTGTTGCTAATACAAAGTAAAAATACCGAGACCTGGCGAAAAACTATGCAGGATAAATGTTATATTAATAAAAATAAAAATAAGGAAAAAAGCTAACTTCGGCACGCCGGCGGGGGTGTTCAGAACGCTGTAACTCAAGTTCTGTATAATATTTTTACAGTGGATCCCTTTAATATTCGGTTTTTTGTTTTTTCAACTTTAAACCCGATTAAAATGTATAAGATTTACAAAAAACCCAATTTAAAAAATGGAAAATAAAAGCTTGTTTCATTACCTATTCGTAGAGGTGCATATATCTAAGGTTTCAATTCAAATTAAAACTAAAAACATAAAAAAACAAAAACAACTTCAAAATCTGAGTAACATTAATATTCGGTTTTAACCTATAAAACTAAAAAGAACATAGTTTTTCTTGAAAATTAAAGCAATTTAATATTTGGTACGTTAACCATTATTTTTAAGATTATCGTTTAACCTTTTTGGCATATTTTCTATTATTTTTTTGCTATATTCTTCTCCTATTTTGGCCCAGTCCTCCTGAAGCCGTTTTTTTAAGTCCGATATGGACGAAATCGGCGTTTTGTGGACACGGCGGTCCAACTCACTCCACAAATTCTCAATGGGATTGATATCAGGGGTTGGGGCGGCGTTTCCAAAACATTGGAGCAGTTGTAGAGCAACCAGGACTTGACTTTATGAGCCTTGTGCTTTGGGTCATTTTCCTGATACAGCTTAAAGGTGTTGCCAATGCCCATTATCTCAGCTGATTGCTTTAAATTTTCCTTCAAATTTTTCAGGTATTGATCCCGGTTCATTATCCCATCAATAAAAACGAGATTACCGACTCCTTTGGTGGAAATACAGCCCCAGATAATCACACTTCCACCGCCGTGTTTCACGGTTTGCCTAAGATGCTCTCTATGCAGCTCAGTATTTGGCTTCCGCCAAACCATGGTCTTGCCGTCACTGCCAAAAAGGTTGAATTTGCTTTCATCCAAGAAAAGGATATCTTCCCACCAGCTTTGGTCCTTCATGGAGTACTCCTGGGCGAAATTCTTCCTTATCTTCCGGTTGCGCTCAGACAGTAACGGCTTTTTCCTAACCACTTTGCCGTTGTACCCTTGTCTTTTTATGGTACGGCGAATGGTTTACGCGGAAACGGTCTTCCCGTGGTCAGCAAAGAGTTCCACCTTCAATTTTCGAGCACTTAGTCGAGGATTCTCGTTAACTTTGAGGACTATTTCGGTTTCTTCGGGATCGATTAATTTTTTGGGTTGTCCCGTTTGCTTAATTGAAGCCACTCTTCCCTCATTTTTGAATCTTCGGACGATGTCACCGACCGTATTCGGCTTCATTTCTAGGATTTGGGCAGTTTCCTTATATGTCTTGCCCTCTAAATGTAACTGGAGGACAAGTTTTCGCTGCTTCAAGGATGAATTTTTGCCTTTGCGGCCCATTTTAAAATTTGGGGATAAAACTCAATGTTTTTAATTTATTTTGCTCTCAGTAAATGCTTGTCGATGTTGGGTTTTCTGCGAAACCCATTTTCTACGCGAATTTAGGCTTTTTAGAGTGGCTACGGGGTTTTGTAATACGAAATCCAAATAATACCGAATATTAAAGTTAGGTAAATTTTGAGCCTTTTTTTGTTTTAGATTTTTTTTTTCTTAAATTCAAAATAAAAGTTTGAACATTTATATATCTATGGAAAGGTAATATTACAAGCTTTAAGATACAATTTTTTAAATGTTATTTTTTCCTAATGATATACGTTGTATTCGGGTTTGAAGTTGTAAAAACAAAAAACCGAATATTAAAGGGATCCACTGTAACTTAAAATCTATATTTATATTTACCCTAGAAAAAAGGCCTTTACATGGGATGACCCCCTTAATTACCTGAATCATTTGCATCTGAAACTTCCAAATGTGATCCCCTATAAGGCGCTGAAGCCATATTGGTATATACTTTGCAATTGCTTAATGAATTCGGTGATAGTTTTGGGACAATTGATGGTGATTGAACTGGTATTCCCAAAAGACCTTTTCTTTCCATTTGAAGTTTGTGATAAGCTAAAGCTTCCAACTGCTGGTCCAATATAGCCGGGTTATCCAATGTCGTCTTCGCATTAATTATAGGATTTTCATTACGATTAAATTCGGTAGAACGTAATTGATGTTTTCGAAAAAGTAAGGGGTTTTCCATTCCCATAAGTGGCTGGGAATAGAGAGGCTCGCGCGAACAAGTCACTTGCATGCTGGAGGGAACCTGGAATACAAATATGTTGAATGAACATATTTACAACAAAATAAAAATATTTGTATATTAATTTATTAATATTCATTACGCTACATGTATTAATTTATACATTTTTAATTCCATTTAATTTTTGTTTGCACATATGTAATATGAGGGCACTGCTCAACACTATTAATTTATGTACAAATAAACACACGTACATATGTATGTAAAATTCAAAACAGAACAGCAAATTGTACATACTTGCGGCATTTCAGTTCGTCTTTTGTGTGGCTTTGGTGGAATGGATGGTCCCGTTTTCCTATTTATTATTTCATTTTGCTGTTGTCTTATATTGTCAACCAATTCTGCAACTTTGCCATGTTTAATACCAATCATAGAATCTGAAGAACGGTTTGGTAGCCGATTTTGATAATCCAAGGAATCCATTGAAATATTAATTAAATATCCACGTCTTGGTATTGACTTTTTATAACAAAAATTACAAAGATATACAAATTGTATACAAACACCATAAGACCTAGCTCACGCTTAAGCTTATATTTATTATTTATTGATTTTATTTTTTGCAAACATAGTGTATGTGTGTAGACTATAATATCGATAAAAAGATTTTTTTTAAACCATATCGATTTATATTTTAGAGCTAATTAAAAAAATAATGCCCTGTTTCTACTACAATTGATCCATTTGATAGCCGTTTGTTAGTTACCGTCTTGTTTTTTTTTTCATAGAAAGGGGCGAAATCGTACAATTTTGTTTATAGCTGCTCCAGTTTTCGAAAAACTTGCTATCGGAATGTTTCGTTTTCTCATCGTTTCTCACTGCTTAATACTGTCTTCCCACACAGTGCATTTGTGAGGAACGTTTGGGATTTAAAAAAAAAGTGAAACTCGTGTTCCCACACACCGTCAAACCTCAAACGTAAACAAAGACTGTCGAATTGGCAGTTGCAAATTTGAAATGGAGCATTTACCAACAATTTTGGCTGATGTACAACAGCAAAAGGCACGGATTGCGTCAGAATTTATCCGCACTAAATTTAAATGAATTAAATGACAAGGAATGTTAGTTTTTCTAATGATTTTTCTCTAACAAAGAGCAAATGTGCTGTGTGGGAAGACAGTATTAGTGCGCATAAAATCTGCCGCATCGGTGGTTTTGCTGTTGTTAAAAAGCATTAACAGTTGATATTAGAGATGTCAAACTACCGGTAATCGCACCATCGGTAGTTTTTTTTTGCAAACTATCGATACTATCGCGATAGTACCGACATTAAAAAATTTCTTTAAAAAGGGGATATTCCACTAATAAAATACTCAAAAAAGTTGAGGGTATACCTTATTAATTTGAAAGAGATTTTTAAGAGTAAAGATATAATATAGTAAAAGTCTTAAAATATATATAAATAGTCGGACAGTTTTAATTTCTTGTGATATATATATTTTTCTTCCTGTATTTCATTGTTTGGTTTCAAGCTTAATAATATCAAAACTAAAAAAATAACAAAAGATTCATATTTTATATCTTAAAAAAGAAATAATATTAAAGCGGTCCTTGCACTATTCAAAAATAATGTATGAGATCAGAGTTAACGTTTAACAGTCAGATATCCACCAATTTTTGTTTATAAACAACAGTTTATCAACTATTTTTGGTTTCAAATTGGATCTACGATCGGAAATTATTTCTCCTGCCTTCGAAAACATTCTTTCCGACTCGGTTGACGTCGCTGGAACAAAAAAAAAAAAAAAATATATATAGAGGCGATACTACCGCGATTGTTTTCAAACTACCGATAGTGGAAGCTGAATCCAAACCATCGGTACTATCGATAGTACCACTGGTAGTTTGACATCTCTAGTTGATATACTATTCATTTTACTCACACATCGGTACCTTTAGCCATCTTTGTTTTTGTTTAAGAAGAGGCACTGCTGATCAATCAGCTGTAATCGGATGCGAATGCAGATGCAAAGCTCTGTGGAAACACGACTTTCACATTTGTGAAAAATCTCAACTGTTCCACACAAATGTAACCGAAAACGGCAAGATTTTTTCGTTTTTGAAAACGAGAATTGTTGCTCCGGTAATCGAAAACGAAAGATTTTTTGGATTTGAAAAACGGGCACCTTTTTTCTGGTGGAATGAAAAGTAAATACCTTTTTTTATATGAAATCAGATCTTATTTACTAAGGGGAAAAAAATAGTTTACTCAGTGGTCTATTGATGTTTATTCCACACCACCACAAGATCATTCTGGCAGGTATTTATTTTATAAAAAATGTATTCCTGACCCCACCTCAGATTTGACAACAAAATTTTTTCCGTGTTCAACCAGTTTTCTCATTTTGGCGATAGGTCGATAAGTTCACCGCAAAAAGTTATCGCCAAGGTTGTTATATTGTCGGTGGAACGAAACAGCCAGTTAAAAATACTTATAAAATATAAACGAATACATTAATAACTTTATAGGAGCGCCAAAATGGTTGTTTATAAATAATGCTATTTAATTTGATTACTTAAATGGTCAAAATTAACCAAATAATTATTTGAGACAACCGGAATTAAAGCTTTGAAAAGTGTGGCTGCATCTTAGATGCCTAAATTTGCTTAACTCTAGCATTTTTTGACTTTTTCTGGCTTAGAAAAAGGGCAATTGTAAACATAATAGGCAGTACTTTACGTTGTTTGCTTATTACCAAAAACACAAGTTAGCTGCTTGAGCAATAAGAAACGATGAGAAAACGAAACATTCCTTTAGCAAAAATTTTTCGAAAACCGGAGCAGCTAAAAACGAATACGGTTCGTTTTCGCCCAAAACGAAAACGAAGAAATTTTTAGTACTATAAGGATTTCAGCGACTATTCGATATTTTCAGCCATTTAGAGACTCCAAGGTCGCTGTAAATATCGCCTTAATGTGTGATTGAACGATTGGCACTGATAACATTGCACAACGTCGTCCTCTTTAAAAAGGAAGTTCGACGTGACTGCTTTGGCGGAGGAATAGCCAGTTTGGTTATTAAATGTATTTCGTCCACCACCGCATTTGCAGTACTGCACAATGCATTTTATGCTACATAAATACATGATCATTCCGTTACGAAAGTAGAGCAAGCATTTTTTGGTCTTTTAAAATTTTTGTTCTTTATTGAAGTATTTTTGTATCCTAATTCAAGATTCAAAAGAGTCATAATTTAATCCCTAGCATTCTTGATTTAATCTCGAGTTTGGTAAAAAAAAAAATTTTTTTTTAGCGAGATGACACTATGATTTTAATTTTCGTGTAAGAGAAAATGAGACAAAAGTAGTATTCACTCTTTTCTGTAATTAAAAAAGATTTTTTTTCAGTGTACGAAAACGGAAACAAAGAAGGCCGGGAACAATTGAAATATCGATGGCGCCAAAGCTACAAGTATATCCCGAATTGCACCATTTAAAAAATACGTTAACTTTAACCCTATTTAAGAGCCTTTACCACTATACTACACTTGGGGCAATTGCTTATTGTTTCCAAAATATTATTTCTTATTATTAATTTAGAGACAACTGCATACCAATTCCTTTTAACCCCGCTGAAATCACTTCAACCATCTTTGTTTTGGATGAGCCATAGCTGTTCGATCATCTGCCATCGGATGGTGCTGTGTGAAAAGAGAGTTCATTTTTCAATTTGGATAATTAAGAATCGATCCAGAACTAACAGGTGATCTATAAAAGATAAATATTAGAAAAAAACACTTAATAATAAAAAACACTAATATAATATAAATATAACAAGGAAGGAAGCTAGCTTCGGCATGACGAAATTTTGATACTCTTGTAGTTCGCAATTGGAATCGATCCATTCTGGTAAAATTAATAGGACAAATAACAGGAAATGTGTATATAAATCAGATCAATCAAATTCTTTCGGAGAGAGAACAACCAACTAGTCTGAAAAGGGTCTCTCTCGCAGATGTTCTCGCTTCTTTGCTTTGATTGCGATTCCGGTTAACTGCAACGGGAGATCGCAAAGACAAAGCTTTCGGGAAACGAAGCGGCATAGAAACTACTCGCTTGCTTCTGAGTCGAATAGAGTGCCTGAGAGAGAGGGAGAGGGATTATGCACTCGTTTGAGTTCATGCGTACGAGAAATTAAAAATATATTCTACAAACAATTTAAACACAAATTAATAAAGAAATAAGCTCAAGTTTGTGTTAAATGTTTTTTTCTTTTTGTTTCATTTGTTATTTATTTTAATCATTTAATTTAATTTAATTTAATCATTAAATCATTTACATTTTTAAATGTTTGTTGTCAAAATTGAAGAAATTGTGCAAACAATCAACTGACTCTACGCGAAATGTGCAAATTAACAGCGAGAACTTTCCGCGAAGAGACCGGTCACACTTCAGACGACGAACCCGCTCTCTCCGCTTCAACCGAGAGAGAATAGAAAAAGGGCCCATGGCAGCGGTCTCGTTGAGAGTTTTTGCAACTAACCGGTTACGTAACCTGAATGTTGACACTTTTTTGGGAATCGGGACTCAACCCTGCGAGCTCTGATATAAATGTTGTATATTTATATATAGCATATACATAATATTTTGATTTAGATAGTCAGAAGAATATATGAAAAATTTCATTCAGATACATACATATGTAGCTATAAAACTTATAATACCATCCAAAACAAAGTAATGTCACTTTCATTAACTACCCTACATACATAAATGTACATTACATATTATATTTACTGTGTTACAGTTACAGTTTTACATTCACAGCTTTAAATTTTTATCTACATATACCGATCATTTCTATGGCAGCTATATGATATAGTCGTTCGATTTTTACAAAATTTAACCCGAAACTCAACTTATGTTTATGTATGTTTGTATGTACATACATACACATGTATTTATACTGGTGAGAATAGAAACAAGACAATCTGCAAAGTTTTATTCTGATAGCTTCAAAACAGAAATGCAAGTTTGGTTAGAAATAAACTGCCGGACGGACAGACGGACATGGCTGTAGATGCTGATCCAGAAACGACTCCTCCTCCACTGCGATGCAAACTTGTATTTCAAGACAATTTTTAAAGCAGCGTACCGAATTAATACTAATTTGTATTTTTTTTAATATTTATTTGATGGTTAATGAGCATTAAATTCTGAAATGAAATGAATATAAGCCTATGAATGTTTTATTTTTTTACGAATAATAGTAACTCATACAATAAATAGCATTCCTCTGAACATACTTAATATTTGGTAAACGTTTACGAATATGCTTTAGTACGTACATGAATTGCAGTTAAACCCCTGATAAGAAACTTTAATCTCTAATTAAAAGTGGCTTCAAAGCAAAATCCGCTCGATAAGCAGCACCAAAACGATGCGACTGACAGAAAAAATTACAGTTCAAAAGAATGTTACTAACTAAGAGAGAAGAGTGGTGACTTAATTCATATTTGATTATTATTTATGGCCAACTCTTAGTTTTTAATAATTTGCATATTTAATATATTAATATTTATAAAGTATTATAAATATATTATAGGATTTAAGACTAACTAATGAAGCTTAAAGTGGCAATTGGTATATTGAAAAGGTCTGGAACTTTTTGTTGAATTGTCTTTTTTATATTATATAAATTTTACTTTCCATTTTTGTCTCAGTAAAAGTAAATAAGAATAATGTGAATGTGCAGTTAAAAGAATAACATATGTATTAGAGTTATAACCGAAATCAATGCAACATTGAAAGGATAAATCTTGACGAGCATTTTAAAGTACTTTTTCTCTGGACTTTTTAAAGGACCAAAAAATTAAATTTAAATTAAATTAAGCTAAAAATGTTAATATTTCAATATAATAGCTGAAACCGAGTTTCATTTATATGGCTGTACAACTGGGACACCTATTTGAATAAAAACGGAGAGACGGACATGGTATATCGACTCGGTTGTAGATGCTGCAAATTTTTGACTAGAACCATATAACGTTTTGCAAGGGTATAATAAATATATTAATGTAATGCTATGAATATTAATAAGAAATGTACAAATGTACTTCAGATCTGGAGTGAATGTAACTAAAAGGCAACAAAGCTGAGGTCGATAGAGTCGAGAGTCCTAAGTATATATTTACAGATAATACTCGACTTCAGAGCTATAGCCATTTAGAGATAAAGAAATCAATTTATGAGGCATGTTAAAAGAGGCGCTTGTTATATATATGTATATAAATGTACATGAGAAGATATATGTTATACACAGTTGCGGTGAAAATAATAGCACCCGAAATTGTAAGATATTATTTTGGTTCTTCTTAATTAATTAAATGAAAAAATTATAACTTATTTTTATTACAACATATTCAAATATTTTTACATTTTGTATAATTTTGTACAATACCATTATTGTGTAATTATAATACAATTAATTATAATTACAATGTAAAATCTCACATATATTCAAATGTGATATAAAAAATTTTAAATAAAAACGAATATTGAAATATTGCATTTATTCTTAAAATATCGGTAATATCAAATACCAAAAAAAATGTATTAATGCCTTTTACTGTTCCTTTTGTGTTTGAACACGAAATTTATTATAAAATTTTATTTTATTTATTATATATTATATATTATATATTATATATTATATATTATATATTATATATTATATATTATATATTATATATTATATATTATATATTATATATTATATATTATATATTATATATTATATATTATATATTATATATTATATATTATATATTATATATTATATATTATATATTATATATTATATATTATATATTATATATTATATATTATATATTATATATTATATATTATATATTATATATTATATATTATATATTATATATTATATATTATATATTATATATTATATATTATATATTATATATTATATATTATATATTATATATTATATATATAAAATATAGGCTTCCCTCATCTAAAAAATATGTGACGCTAAGTTTTTGACCCTTATTGCAGCGCTTATATATAAATACTCTATGTACGAAGCTCTCTCTGCGAGTAAATTAATAAATTCGAGGTATTTAAAGTGTGTTTTTCACGTAATCTGACTTAATTCGAAGTCAGCGGGCATTGGATCCGGAATCGAGTTCGTATTTGACGCGTTCGGCACCGGCTTTCAGTTTAACAACTAAATAAATAAAGTGAAACAGAGATTAGTAGTGATTTAAGGTAAAATATTTACCACATTTGATTTATTAAATCTTACAAAAATTACTAGAATTGTGCTTCTCCGTTAGCCGTACGCAATCCCCAAGGGGTCTAGCATGATGGCCAGGATGCGGTACAATAATATTGTAACTGCGATTTTACTGGATTTATTAATTACAGCAGCTGCCTACGCCGGTAAGTGTTTCATATACAATATATTATATATTTTTACAAATGAATCCTTTAAATTATAAAAAGATAATTAGTCGATTTCAAACGATTTTTTTCATTAAATGTTTTATTTATCGGGTCATGATTCTGGTTAATTAATTCGAGTTTTTATAAGAGTGTTGACCGTATCTAAAGGGTGTGGGCAAGAGGACCCTACAGCACTTTCTATGAAAATTATTATATATTCCTACAATTATTATATATTACTGAAATGTTTCTCCATTGTCCATCGGATGTTCGATAGAGCTTAACAAGTTATTAGAAAAAGTAATATAAACAAGAAAGGAAGCTAACTTCGGCACGCCGAAGTTTGTATACCCTTGCAGATTGGTTTTGATTTTTATATTATAGATTTAAATGCTGAAAACACTCACAAAACAGAGTTTCATTACATTTTACCTATACTTATTATGTTTACAGTTTGACAGTTACAGTTTTACATTTCCAGCTTTACATATTTTATACATTTACCGATCGCTTCTATGGCAGCTATATGATATAGTTGCCCGATTTTTATGAAATTTATATATATAATATAACAACGAAGCTATATTTTTTTTCCTATTAATTTCCCGACTGTTCCTATGGCAGCTATATGATATAGTCGTCCGATCCGGCCCGTTCCGACATATATAGCAGTGAGAGCATATAGAAGACTATATGCAAAGTTTTATTCAGATAGCTTTAAAACTGAGGGACTAGTTTGCGTAGAAACGGATAGACGGACAGATGGACAGACGGACATGGCTAGATCGACTTGGCTGTTGATGCTGATCAAGAATATATATACTTTATAGGGTCAGAAAGGTCTCCTTCACTGCGTTGCAAACTTCTGACTGAAATTATAATACCCTGCAAGGGTATAACAACGCGAACAACTATTTTGGGCATGCTTGTAGCTTTGGCGCCACATTTTAAATTCCATATTTCATATCTTCCTCGCCAAGTTTGTTTACATTTTCGTAGTGTTGGTCAAGTTTTCACTGTTAAGAAGAAGAAATCAGAGTTGCACCGAAAAACTATCGCCTAACTATCGCCAAACAAGCCGTGGTTATATTTTAATGCGTTCTAACCGCGGTCCATTTGAGAAAATTCGGAACGGCAAAACCGTATGGGCGGTGGATGCGCTTTGAGGGTGTGTGGGAAGACCCTATTAAGCTTATAATCCGTCCATTCCCTTTAACGAAAACAACATCAACTCAATTCAATTCGACTGCGTTGAGTTTACTGTATGCGTTTAGTTGCAAGTATGCCAGATTTGTATCACCTCCTCCTCTGTAGGAATGCGAAAAATTGTTTAAAAAAAAGAGATAAAAGTATAAAACAGACCAACAGACATATTGCTTATTAGGAATAAATAAATTTTTAAAGAATAAGAATATGATATTATAAATGATCAAATTTGACAAAATTGGGACAGATAACAAGATAAATTTATATTTTACATCTTTTAAATTGTTTGTTATGTATTTGTTTTTCGTTTTTAAATTTCAGATGGAGCTTGCAATATTGGATGTTTAAAAAGTAAGTTTTAATAAATACAGCAAAATTTCCTTTTACCACTGTTTGCGTTCCTCCCTTTTAGCTGACAACGGACTTTTGAAATATCAACCTGGCAACGTGTATGATTATGCCTTTGACAGTATTTTAACTATTGGATTGAGTTCGGGTATAGTTAGCGAAGCTGATGATACAAGTCTTAAAGTATCTGGATCTGCAAAAATCTTTTCTAAAGGAAATTGTGGGTATACCTTACAACTAGGATCAGTAAAAGTAACAAACACTAAGGAATCGGTAGAAAAGAAGATACTGAATAATATAGCTAAGCCTGTGTTCTTTACCCTGAATAGTGGTCTTCTTGAACCGCAAATATGCTCTGAACACAATGATTTGGATTACTCTTTGAATATCAAGAGAGGTATTATATCTTTACTGCAAACAGGAATCGAGAGCCAGCAGGAAACTGATGTTTTCGGGCATTGTCCCACACATACCTCAGTAGCCAAAAATGGTAATATTGATACCATAACTAAAGTTCGTAACTTGAATAGTTGTTCGCATCGGGAACAGTTAAATAGTGCCTTAATTTCTGGTAAAATCAATGAGAAAGCAGGCTTAACTTCCAGTTTAATCTTACAATCAAACTATATTAAAGAATCTAACATCATAGATGGTCTTATAGATAATGTCCAACTCACGGAAACCTATAAATTTTCGGGAGCCACCAAAGGTAACTCTGATATTAGTGCCAAAGTGATCACAGTGATTAAACTGAAAAATCCTGGAGGTACAAAGGCTGACGCACCTCAAACAGGAACCGCTGTTCGTAGCGCCATCTTTCAAAAACCGGAAACTTATTCTTCAAAGAATATAAATGCCTTAAAGACTGTTTTATCTGAAATAGTGGAGTCTACTGGTGAATATGTTAAGAAAGACAGTGCCAAGAAATTTGTCGAGTTTATTCGACTTCTAAGGCAATCGGATAGCGATTCTTTATTGGAGCTTGGTACTTTTCCACATCCTAACAAGGTTTTGGCACGAAAAGTTTATTTAGATGGTTTGTTCCGTACCAGCACGACGGAATCGGCAAGAGTTATTCTCAAGCAACTCCCAAAGTTTGATGATAAAGAGAAGATCCTGGCTATCTTATCCCTAAATATCGTTGATTTGGTGGATAAAGAAACTCTTACTCATGCTGCTGCTCAACTGTCACCATTAGCCCCAAAAGAGCTGTACCTTTCCGTTGGTAGTTTGATTTCTAAATTTTGTACGAGAAATGATTGCGAAAATGCTCCCGAAATCGAGGCAATAGTGAAAAAGTTTTCTGATGGCCTAAAACATTGCAAGCCCAATACGAAAAAGGATGAAGAGCGTATTGTTTATATCTTGAAAGGGTTTGGCAATGCTAAAAGCTTAGGTGGCAATGCGAAGAGCTCAGGTGCCAATGCTTTAAAAGAATGCGCCTCTGTAGGACGTTCCAATCGCATTCGTATTGCTGCTTTGCAGGCATTCTCCTCCATACATTGTGATGAAGGCCTTCAAGCCAAGTCCTTAAACTTACTTAAAGATACCAATGAGGACTCAGAGTTACGTATAGAAGCCTATTTGGCTTTGATATCGTGCCCCAATGGGGACATTGCCAATCAAATATCGGAGATTTTAAATACAGAGAAAGTTAATCAAGTTGGTGGATTTATAGCCTCAAATTTGAAAGCCATACGTGACTCAACAGACTCTAAGCGCGAACAACAACGATATTACTTAGGTAATATCCGTAATACAAAACAATTCCCAAAAAATTACCGTCGTTATAGTTTTAATAATGAAATATCATATAGTCTGGAGACTTTAGGATTAGGAGCAAGCTCTGATTACTCTCTGATTTATTCGCAACATGGTTTCTTGCCAAGATCCTCAAGAATTAATATTACAACTGAGATATTTGGCACCAATTTTAATGTCTTCGAAGCGAGTGTGAGGCAAGAGAACTTGGAGAAAGTATTGGAATACTATTTGGGACCCAAGGGACTGCTTAATAAGGATTTTGATGAACTGGTAAAGTTAATAGAAGTGGGAAGCAATGGAGCACCAGGAGCTGGAGGTCGAGCTAGACGTTCTATTGTGGATGAAGCTTCAAAGACTTCAAAAAAATATAAAACCTATGGAAATAAGAACATTCAAGACTTAAACTTGGATCTATCCCTGAAGCTCTTTGGCTCTGAGTTAGCATTTTTAAGCCTTGGAGACAATGTGCCTACGACTTTGGATGATATTATTAAGCACTTTTCGGACTCTTTTGAAAAAGCCAAAAAGGAATTGACCTCCTTTGAAAAAGAACTAGTTTTCAACAATCTTTTCCTGGACTCGGAACTAATATATCCAACAAGTATTGGTGTACCTTTGGAGTTACAAGCTCAAGGTTTTGCGGCAACCAAGATTGATCTAGAAATTAATTTGGATATCGGTGCAATTATAGAACAAAATTGGCAGAGAGCCAAATACCGTTTAAAGCTTGTTCCGAGCGTAGATGTTAATGTTAATCTTCAGGTTGGCTTTAATGCTCAAGTGCTCTCTACAGGACTTCGGGTGGTATCAACTGGACATACAGCCACTGGTAATGATGTTACCGTAGCTCTTATCAACGATGGCGAAGGTTTTAAGATAGACTTTGAGTTACCACGCGAAAAATTGGACTTGATTAATATAAAAATTGATACTGAGCTCTTTGTTTCCGAACAAGATAAGCCCACTAAGGGCATAGCTCTTAAAAGTTCCAAGAAAACAAAGAACTTACCAGCCCAATCGAATGAACTATGCTTAAATCAATTGGAAATTATAGGTTTAAACTTCTGCATTGAGAGCTCCACAAGTTTAAATGATATTCAAGGAGGAAGTCAAGGAAAAGATCTCGCCATCTTAGATCAATTTCATCTTTCAAAACCTTTCACTTTTGGAATTACTTTGATTGCAGAACGTAAGTTATCCTTTTATGGCCTACATACAACTTCTGATGGAACCCAAAAATGGAAATTGGATTATTCAACTCCCGGATCTAAAGTTTCACATGATACAAGTGTCATTTTCGAACTTGGAATGAAACCCCGAACGTATACTAGACTATCTTTAGATAATACTCAGTTTCATTTTGCGATTGAAGGTGGAATAAACAATGATAACAAAGAATTAGTAGTATACGGTCAATATGAACAAGATAAGGCAATTAAAAAAAGTAAAATTGGCCTTAGTAAGAATGGCAATGAGTATAAACCCATAATAGAGATTCAAGATAATAGTGGAGGAATTAAAAATTCTATAAATGGTTATCGAGCTGATGGTAAAATTACTGTTCAGAAGGCTAATGAGAAACAACAGAGATATACCTTTGAAAACTTCCGCATATCCAATGGATTGGATGATCGTGTCATAGTGAATGGTTGGTCAGATATTGGTCCAAACACATTAGCTTCTGAGCTACACATTTCTTCCGAAAAGGAGTCCTACTTGGTTAAAGGTAATGTGAAATTTGAAAATGGACTTTATGGCGCAGGGTTCTTTATCAACGATGAAAGATCACCGGAAAATGTTTATGGTAGCTCCGTACAATTAACAACAGCTGATCAGTCTTATGGTCTAAAAATGTTGGGTAGAGCTGCTACTTGGTCCATTACTAGTGATACTGATGTTAGTGTGGAAAAGGATGACAGCACTACCAATCCTTTAAGATCCGGAAAAGTGACGTCAAGTTTAGAAGCTAAAAATAAAAACAAACAAGTTGGTGGTATAAAGATAAAGTCAACATTTGACTCTCATAACTTTGATATTAATGCAGAAATATTACGTGAGCAGAAAATTGGATCCCTCAATTTAAAATACAAGAGCAATCAAAGAACCCCCCAGGATTATGCATTGGAAGCTAAAGCCACACTAAACAAACATTCGATCGATGTATTATCGAAGAGGGATTTGAACAACAATGTCTATATTATAGAGAACGTGGTAACCACAAGTTGGGGCACTTCCCTTTCCCTCAAAGGTGACCTGGGTCAACGTTTTACCCCCCAGGACATCCACATTGATATTCAGGGCAACTTTCAATTAAGTAACAATGATAAGCCTTCGCAATGGATTCTAAAGGCTAATGGAACACCAGATAAGACCAGCGCGGAATTTAGAGCTAACAGAGATTCTATAGAAATTGTTAAGCTAAACGGAGAATCCCAGCATCCTCAAGATAAAGTCGCAAGTGTTAAGCTTAATTTAATAGTTAAGAATCTATTAATTGCAAAGGGAGATTTTCGAGTAGCGAAGAATGGAAAGGGAGAGCTCTTAGCCAGTTTTGAGACTCAGAAAACGGAACCCAAACATAAACTTGAAGTTGATTCGAAATTCCACATTTTAAATCCTAAATATGATATCGATACCACTATTACATTGGATGGCGAAAAGAAACTACACGTTAAATCTGAGAATACAATTGATAAGAGCAAGTTTACGACCAAAAATATAGCTGAAGCCAATGAAAAGAAGCTAAGTTTTGAAGCAAATGGCAGCGTTAAAGGTGAAAACCGTGAAAATGGAGAAATTCAAGGTAGTTTTACGTTAACTACACCTTCGGGACGCATTATCGATGGTAGTGTCAACAGGAAAGTGTCTACAATCGCTAAAACTGGTATTACCCAAGGCAATATCGACGGCAAAATTAGTGATACGTCATCGGGGGGTAAACGTTCTTTGACCATAAAGGGAAAACTTGATCGCTGGAGTCCAAAGACCAAAGAGTTCTTAGTAAACACTAATTTAATATTTACTGATGTAGATGATCAAAAATCTGAGTTAAGCTATCAAATTAAACTGCAACCCAAAGGTGAAAGTGCAAAGAATTTGGAATTCAAACTGAATGCTCAGGGTAAACCCATAAATGAGCCCATTGATGTGACACTTGTCCTGAACGATTTCAGTCCTCAAAGCGCCTCCGTAGTTTTGTCCACTAAATATGGTGACTCCGCAGCATTCACTTTAAATGGTAATTTTAATAATAATAATCAGAAATCCTATGAGCTTGAAGCAAACTTAAACATTCCAAAATCAAATTTTAAGTTCTTCAACATTAGGAGTAATGGCAAGCTGTTGTTGGCTTCAACACAAGACAGTGTGAACGTTGGGTCTTATGATGTTGTATTGTTTGTCGACGCCAAAAATGGCCAAGGACAATACGCACGAATAAACACATTATGGAAGGGTACTTCAAAATCTGGAATATACGAATTTGACGCTCAAACAAATAAAATGAAATCGCCATTGAAGTTCAATGGTAAATACCAAAAGGATACTGAAAAAAAAGATAACATTGGTGAAGTAGTTACTGGTCATCAAAACTATTTATTTAATGGACAATGTGGAGAGAAATACCTAAAAACGGAAGGTTCCATTACCTATGGTTTTAATAAAACGGATTTAGCTTTTAAACTCGATACTAGTTACGAAAATGCCAAGGATTTAGAAGTGAATATCAAGAGCGAAAAATCCCTTGACGATTCTACACTGTTGGTAAAATCTGTAGTGAAACAAGCAGAAAATTCGTATAGTTTGGATACAAAATTATATCGCTCAGCTCATAAAAAGGGTCTTGAGGCACTACTTAACTTACAAAAAGAAAAACCCATGGTTTTTACTAGCATTGTGGAGATTTTAGGCGAACGTAAGGCCAAAATAATCTTGGAAATCGATAACCTCGTCGAATTGGACCTTAAGCTTAATGGCGAAGCTTCTTACACCAACATTGATGATTTTTATATCATTGGAAGCTGGAACTCCAAGAAATTAAAACTCGATAATTATGAACTTGAAGCACGGGCTCAAGGTAAAAACCTTAAAGTACAAATTAAGAATGCAAGCAATGTCATATTTTTGGGTACAACCACCTATTCGTTGAAGAAAGAGCTTAATAAATCAATAATAGATGGTCAAGGTCAAGTCCAATATCAGGGTAAAACACAATCTGGCAATTTCAAATTGACGCGACAACATTATGACATAAACACCGATAAAGAAGTTGGTTTTTCGTATACCTTAAATGGAAATTTTGGCACAAAAAATGGTGTTTCCATTATAAAAATTACAAATAAGGAGTTTAACACAAAATTCTCTATTTGTGAAGAAAAGAAACAGTGCACAAATATCCAAATTCAGTCTCTCGTAAGCATCAATGACATCAAATTAGATGGTATTCAGCATTCTACATTGATCTTAATTGATCTTCGTGAACTGGGCTACCCCTATGAATTTGAATTCAAGTCCCAAAATACGCGTCAAGGTCTAAAATATCAATATCACCTGGATAGCTTCATAGTGTCGGGAAACAACGTAAAGTACCAATTTACTGCCAATGTACAACCTTCGTCATCTATTTTGATGTTAACTTTACCAAAACGACAGTTAGTATTGGAATCCGTTCAAAAAATACCCAAAAACGGCAATGTCTTCGGTCATTACGAGCAATCAGTTGCTTTCTTTACCGATAAACTAAAGCGGCCCGATGATGTAGCTCGTTTATCGGCCATTATCGATATATCGGGAAAAGAGCGCGTTGCACTCAATGTTCAAGGCGTTATCAAAATGGAACATTCAACTATTCGTTCTTTGAGCATTTCAGGACGCTTTGATGGTAATCTTGAACAGCAAATATCAAATTCAGAAATTGTATTCGATGTATTCCGTTTGCCGGAACAAAAGGTGATTGCAACCAACGAATTACACAATGTACGTTCGAAAAATGGTATCAATTTTTCAACAACATCGAACATTAGGTCATCGGGACTTAAATTCCAATATCAAGTTATAAGTAACGCTGTCGTCGACACTGAAGCTCAAGAGTTAAAGCTTAACCTCGATCTAAATACTGGCAAAAACAGCTTGAAGGCAACCTCATTTTTAAATAAAGAAAAAATGGAGATTTCGTTCAGTGAATCGAACAACCAAATTATTCAATTCGTTGGAGACTTTAACAAACAAAAACGTTCTGCAAAACTGAATTCAAAATTGCAAATTCTTAATAAGAAGCCTGTAGAAATTACTGCCGAAGTCCAACCCACATTTGCCAAGCTATCCTTCAAACGACCGGATCTGATCAATAGCTATGCGGAAATAAAATTGGGCAAAGAATTAAAATTCGATATTTCCGGCAAAGAAAAGCCACTGGTTAATGGACGTGTAGCATTGGATCCTACAAACTTTTTGCAAACTAATTATGTGGCAAGCGAGGAAAATGTTAAAGAATTTTGGGTAAGTGTATATTTTTCTTAAGTAGAACTGGAAGTAGAGTTATAGAATAAACACCAATGCTTTGCTAAAAAGACTTTTCCCAAACATCAACATGATTCCATTCCTTCTTTTTATACCTTATCTTGATCAGCATCAACAGCCAAGTCGATCTAGCCATGTCCGTCTGTCCATCTGTCCGTCTATCCGTTTCCACGCAAGCTAGTCCCTCAGTTTTAAAGCTATCTGTGTAAAACATTGTATACAGTCTCTGAATACACTTACTGCTATATACATATGTAGAAACGAACAGAATTTTAAGAAAAATAAAATGAAAGGAAGCTAACTTGCAGATTGGTTTTGATATTTATATTATAAATTTAAAAGCTGAAAATAAATATCTCAGAGTATATGAAAATACGTTGAAAACCAACGAAGTTATACATTTTTCTATTAATTTTCCGATCGTTCGTATGGCAGTTATAAGATATAGTCGTCCGATTTTCATAAATTTAATATTTGTATAAATTTTATGATCTTTTACGATCTATCGATCGTTTGTATAGCAGCTATAACATATAGTTGTCCGATTTTCATAAAATTTATACAAATATTAAATTTATGAAAATCGGACAACCATATGTTATAGCTGCTATACAAACGATCGATAGATGAAGAGAAAATGTAAAGCTGGGATTGTAAAACTGTAACTGTGAAACTAAACATAATAAGTATAGGTAAAATGTAATGAAACTCTGTTTTGTGTGTGTTTTCAGAATTTAAATTAATAATATAATATTAAAACCAAATTATTATATGCTTTGTATAAATGTACAACTTATATATTTCCTACTATTTTTTTCTATTAATTTAACTAGCATGGCTGGATTCTTAATGATCCAATTGCAAATTGCAAGGGTATTCAAACTTCGGCGTACCGAAGTTAGCTTCCTTTCTTGTTTTTTACTTATTATACAAATTTGCTAACTTATTTATATTTATTATTATATTTATTTGCTCTTATTTAGGAAAATGTCGAATCAGAAGTTAACAAGGACACCGAGGATATTTCCCATAACATCAAGAATAAATTTGAACTATTTAAACAAGAAAGCCAAACAATTGTGAAGTTGGCACAAGATTCATATCCCGATTTTACGAAGTTTAAGGTTAAATATGATGAAACTATCAAGGCATTCATTCAAGAGCTCGAAACGGATGAATCAATTGCACCGATTATTAATGGAATGTAAGCATAGAGTTATACATGTATTAAAATAAGTTAAATATTTACATTAATGATATATTAAACTAAATCATTGTTAATTTTCAGTCGCACGCTATTCGAAAAACTCTCTGGAGGAATTGACCAACTGACAAAAGCTGTTACCGAAGAATATGAAAAAATACATAAATCTTTGGTAGAAATCTTTGACAAGTTACAAGCTCTGTGGAATGACTCTATTCTAAAAACCTGGGAAGAATTCTATTTAACAGCAACAAAAGTAATTACTCAGTTGCGTAATGAAATATTCACAGTATACAAAAAAGCATTAGAAAATATTTTGGAAACATTAAAAAAATATGGACCAGTTTTGAAAAATTACAGCAAGGCTATTGCAGAATTCTTAAAGCCATTGAATGATGCTCTTCAAGAATTGATTAAGGTTGGGTCTCATGCTGTCGAAGAGCTGAGTGACGAACTTAAAAAGTACGCTGCAAATATTCCGACATTTGAGGCGATTCAAAAAGAAATTAATGAACAAATTGCCAGTCTAAAATTAATCGAAAAAACCATTGAGTTTGTGAACAGTTTGTTTGAACAACTAAGTATTTTGCCGCAAACGCAGGAGACTACGGAGTTTTTGCAAAAACTACATGATTATTTGAGTTCAAAGCTTAAAAAGCAGCAAATTAATGACGAAAAAATATTGGAAGAACTTAGCGAACTTTTACTGAAAGCCATTCGCTCCATATGGATATCGCTCAAGAGTACTGTTCCAGCATCTACGTCATCAACATATGCTTCCGATTTCCAAACATGGTTTAGTTCCTTGTTCTATTCTGTTGATAATTTTGCCGTCATACCATCATTACTGTCATTCCGTTTAAGCGCCTGGAACTATTTAGCAAATGAGAATTGGGAAGCGGTATTTACAAAGGAGTGGCTAAACTCATGGATATTCTTTAATGACTTTGAACTACGAGGTCACATCGTTGATGGTTCGCATATATTCAGTTTCGATAATCAGCATTTCACTTATCCGGGCAATTGCCGTTATATTTTGGCTCAGGACAGTGTTGACAATAATTTCACAGTTATTGCTCAGCTAGCAAATGGAAAACTTAAGGGTAAGTCTTTGATTTGATACATATATTTTATCTAAAGCTTATACATATCTTAAGTAATTTAAAGTTTTCAGGATGTATTTATTTTTCTGAAATATAAGGCAAGGTACAGCATTTCTTGATTTAGCACGTTTGGTTAAATTTGCCGTGGAGAGTTCACTTAATAATTGTATATAATTTATAATTTTAGTCAGAAGTTTCCGACGCAGTAGAGAAGTCATTTCCGACCCAATATAAGACTATATATATTTTTTATTTGTTTTCGTAAAATTAAGGAACTTACTGAAATTTATACTTTTTGATTTATTTTGTTTTTTTATGACAAATTCTTAATTCATTTTAGTTTTATTTTTTTTTTAATGAAAATTTGAGAAAAGGTAAACTAAACAAAATATGTGATTTTTGTAAAGTATTGACATACTTGATAAAACATTAACAGAGCCGACATCTATTTGGTCATAGCTATATAGACTTGGTACTCTTGAAACTGTCGCTATTTATAAATGTATGTTAAAAACAATATATAAAACGATTAAAACCTAACAAACAATAACATTAACTCTTTCTTACACTTTATAGGTATTACACTAATTGATCGCGATGGTAGCTATGCCGAAGTTTCCGAAACTCTGGCTTTAAAACTAAATGGAAATGCTGTTGAATATCCACAACATGTATCAGGTGTACATGCTTGGCGTCGATTCTACACTGTGCACCTACACTCGGATTATGGTGTGAATGTTGTTTGCACCACGGATTTGAGGGTATGCCACGTCAGTGTAAACGGGTTTTACACAAGTAAAACGCGCGGCCTGCTTGGCAATGGAAATGCAGAGCCCTATGATGATTTTTTGTTAGTTGATGGTACCATCTCGGCAGACTCAATTGTCTTAGGTAACGATTACGGTGTTGGAAAATGTTCAATTGTTTCAAGCTCGCCTAATCCGACGGTCCCGAGATCAGAAATCTGTAGCGAAATTTTTGGTATTGAGTCGCCACTGGCTTTGCATTTCCTAACCGTGGATTCTAGGCCTTATCGTCTGGCTTGTGATATTTCTGTGACAAAAGTAGCAGAAAAAGATAAGGAAGCCACTGCATGTGTCTTTGCCTTGGCCTATGGATCTGCCGTTAAGCAAGTTAACAAATTTGTGTTATTACCAAAGCGCTGCATTAAGTGTACAGGTCCTGTGGGTCAGCGTGAAATAGACGATGAATTTACCGTTAAATTGCCCAATAATAAGGCAGATATTGTGTTTGTTGTTGACATAAATGTAACTCCACCGGTGTTGAACAATTTGATAGCACCTGCCATCACAGATCTGCGAGAATCGCTGAAAAGTCGCGGCTTTACCGATGTGCAAATTGGAGTAATTGTTTTTGATGAAACCAAACGGTACCCAGCCTTGCTGACAAGCGATAATGGAAAAATTAATTACAAGGGCAACGTAGCTAACGTTAAATTGAATGGCATTAAGAACTTCTGTGAGAACTGTGTGGAGCAAATAATTACAGAAAAGCGAATTTTAGATATTTATAATTTGGTGAAGCAGCTGTTGAATAGTGTTGTACCGCAAGCCGATGAAAAAGCATTCCAATTGGCTTTGGATTATCCATTCCGTGCCAGCGCTGCTAAAAGTATAATTGGTGTGCGTCACGATTCTTTGGAGTATAAAAATTGGGTGAGCTATTGTTAAAAATAAATTAAATTGTGTATGTAGATTTATTTTTTAATTGAATTCATTTACACTCATAATGTTTCGAGCTCAGTTTTTACACCCCTTCAGGGTATTTAAAATTTGACTAGAAGGTTGCAAATCAAAACAAGAAAGGAAGCTAACTTTGGCACGCTGAAGTTTGTGTACCCTTGCAGATATTATTTCATTAAATTTTACCTATACTTATCATGTTTACAGCTTGACAGTTACAGTTTTGCATTCCCAGCTTTACATAATCTCAACATCGATTTTGATAAAACTTATACCAAAATTCTAAAAATAAAAATAAGCCTATATCTCAGAGTAGATGAGAATACGTTGAAAAACAACGAAGTTATAATTTTTTTCTATTAATTTCCCGATCGTTAGTATGGCAGCTATAAGATATAGTCGTCTGATTTTCATAAAATTAAAACCAAAAATCTGAAATAATATAAAATGGCCAAACCTCAAAAATGATGCAAAAATGTTGAAAAACAGCCAAGTTATAATATTTTTCGGAATATTTATATATATTTTTTTTATCTGTCTGCCCGTTTACACATTTTTTTGCTATCAGAGTTTCACAGATAGACTTTTTTTCTGGTCGGTGGAATATAAGTCGAAACGGGCATAATCGGACGAAATTCAATTTTTGTTACTGATAAATGTAAATCGGGTTTTAAAGCTGAGGGTGGACTGCTTTCCGCGGAGTTTTGAAAAAGTCACACATTTATAAGAAGACCTAAGCAAGTTTTGCGATCACAGATAATATAAAAAACAAAGCTTAAATTAGAAATAAAGGCTTATTTCAAAGATGTAGTAAGCTTTTTATAAAAAATCATTAAATCCATCCACTTATAAGTTTCATATAATGCAAATAAACTAATGTATTAAACTCTTTTCCAGTGGAAATACGTGAGAGCCCACTTGACTGGCAGTCTTACAAAATTCGACGGAGCGCTTCTTCATCTGATTGCACCTGTTAAAGGACTTACATTAGAGGGCGTGACGGTTGAAAAATTAATTGGTTCGTATTCTATATATTTTAGAAGGTAGACCAAAAAGCATTGACATTTCAATTAAAACTTATGGAAAAAGCTTCTTATTTTACCCAAAAGCTAAATATATTTTTTTTCCTATTTTATTAGGTTTCAACTCTCGCTTGGTGGCCACTGTTGATGGCAAGGACAATAAAAAGCGAGCGAAACTGCAGTTCGACAATGATATGGGAATTGATTTTGTGTTGAATAATGGCGGATGGGTATTTGCCACGCAAAACTTTGACAAATTAAAGCAACCCGATCAAAGGAAAATGTTAGGCCAGATCACAACATCGATCGCCGATACTCTATTTAAAACTGAAATCGTTAGTGATTGCCGCTGTCTGCCAATTCACGGATTGCACGGCCAACACAAGTGTGCTATTAAATCTTCGTCATTTCTTCCAAATAAGAAGACCAAAGCTCACTAATACCTAATGTCTAAATGCCTTGAATTTTAAGGGAATAAATCGAATAGTTTGAAATAATAAATGAATACAAAAATGTACGATAAGCTTTTTTATTTAAGCACAGTACGGTGAGGGGAGAACAGTTTGTTCGTTGTTGTTTATTCAATTGAAGTGACACCGATCTTAAAAAAATATCTTCGTCCTTTTTGGAAGGCAAATGATGCACTTTATACTTTGTTAATAACTAGCTCTATTTGAAATACAAGACACATACACCTTTTATGCTTTTTTTTAATAATATGTGTCTCTCAAGGAGTGCTCCCTTTGAAAACTCCCAGATCGCTCAAAACTACAAAAAGAACATAGTGGCATCAGTGGCCATACCTCAATATCATCGACGAACCATCGGGTAAGGATCGAATAAAGCTGACAAGCAGAATTCAGTGGCCAACATGGTCTACTAAAAATAAGCTTGAAACTCCTGCAAAAGTCCAGAGAAGTTGGGCAACCATTGGGACCATATAAAAAAACGCTGCGAAGAAAGGAAAAAGAAGAAATTTTTCCCTCGCCGTTTTTGCCGGTACTGACATAACGAAAATGATACCTGCGAAAATTGAACTGCGTTGCCAGATCAAGACACAGCTGATAATTCATTTCAATTATTCATACAGGTCTGGGGATAAGTTGAAGGAAAAAAACAATTGTAGGACATGTCGGTTAATCGGCTTTTCCCAAATTTCATTTTCACACTATTTACCAAACAAAATATACCATATACAGCGATTGTGCCATCACAATTGTGACAGCGGATTTTCGTTTTCTCAGTACTAGGCTTAAGCAAAATTGTATATGCTCTTTGGATTTTTTGGATTCCCACATTTCCGCACATTATATTTCATAGCGGGATATATAATTTAAAATGTATAATGCAAACGCAAGGAGTCTGGAACAGTAAGTTTTATTATATTATTCATTTAGTTAGTCAGCACTTCCTTTACAATCTGCTAAAAATCTGATTTTTGTAAACAAACCAAATAAAGTGAAATCAGCGGCGTAAACATCGCCTCGGCTTACATGGTAGTCAAGCTGCTACAATGGGCCAAAGGACACGAAGACTACGCTGGGACGAGCGCGAGGCACACGATTGGAAAAGAATGAAAGAGGGAGTTTTTTTTTTAATAAAATTATTTGTCGGAACGTTACAATATGTAACAAAGAAAACACACCAACTTTTATATTTCAATGGTAGGGAAGATCTCACCTAGCAAATAGAACATGGCTCACATACAGTCGAGAATTGGAGTGTCGATGCAACAGGTAGTCAGCACTTCCTTTACAATCTGCTAAAAATCTGATTTTTGTAAACAAACCAAATAAAGTGAAATCAGCGGCGTAAACATCGCCTCGGCTTACATGGTAGTCAAGCTGCTACAATGGGCCAAAGGACACGAAGACTACGCTGGGACGAGCGCGAGGCACACGATTGGAAAAGAATGAAAGAGGGAGTTTTTTTTTAATAAAATTATTTGTCGGAACGTTACAATATGTAGCAAAGAAAACACCAACTATTATATTTCAATGCTAGGGAAGATCTCACCTAGCAAATAGAACATGGCTCACATACAGTCGAGAATTGGAGTGTCGATGCAACAGGTATATTTTCTAAGAGATGTCGGTACCTGTAAGTAAACCGATACTGAGGCTGTTTCGCTTAACTTATACCACTCCAGTTGCCGAAGTTCTGCTGTCACAACCGGTTTTCCAGGAGAAAATTGGCATTGCTGTACTGAGTGAACCTTAAAAAGGCAACAGAGCGCAGACGGCGATGCAGCCATCAGGAGTTGCAGGCAGTTCATCGGACACCTATCGCAGAGGGCGTTGATACCTGGTTACGCTAGGGCAAAAGTCCAAGCAACTACTGTCTACCGTTCTTACCAACCCAGAGTATGCATATAGAAGCTTTCAGGGACATTGTGCAGAAGATTGCCCGAGACGCCTGTGGACGATCCCCGGTACTAATCGCTGGGGACTTCAGTGCGTGGTCCACTGCCTGGGAGAGCTCGAGAACTACTCAGTGAGGAACATTCCTCCTGGATGCCCTGGCCACCTTGAATGTTTGTCTCCTCAATGATGGAAACAGATGCACATACAGCAAGGTCAGACTGATGTCCAAGAAGAAGGTCCGCACTCAGCTCTCCGATTGGAGTGCGTATGCGCACCGGAGGCTCAATTTTAAAAACGAGGTCGAGGTCAGATGTTGGTGGAATAGATCTGTTCACCACCCACGTTGGTCGTCGGCATGCAAAAACGCGTTGCGACGTGTCAATGCAGCTCGTAGGTGTGCCAGGGTCGATGAGACTCGCGTCCCGGTGTCAATTCGCACCAGCGCGGTCGGGAGGTCAGTATGAGTTAGAAACTGGGACTTATGTGTCGATAAGAAATATGGATGGTACGGCCTTTCGGAGGTTCCCCCCGGAAGCAGTACGACCTTCGCGATAGGGCATTTAATGATCCCCCGTTAACCAATTTATAAATGTAGAAATATGAGGCGGTAAGTCGTTCCGAGTTATACTGTCTTCTCAGTTGGGATTATTCACAAATGTGAAACTCGTGTTTCCACATAGCTTGCATCTGCATTCGCATCCGATTACAGCTGATCGATTAGCTGTGCCCCTTCTAAAACGTAAACAAAGATGGCTGAAGGTGCCGATGTGGGAGTAAAATTAATAGTATATCATCTATTTAGGCTGTTTAACAACAGAAAAACCACCGATGCGGCAGATTTTATGCGCACTAACTTAAAATAAATTAGATGACGAGGAATTTGAGGTTCTCTAATGATTTTTTTCTAACAAAGATTAATTAGTAATTAATTAATACTAACGTTCGGAATGTTGGGACTGGAGCACCTGACACGCTTGTTTTAAAAAAATGTTCGCTGGGTTACACTGTCGGCGATTCACAGCTCTTATTTGTCTGTATGTATGGATGTACCGGCAGGGGGCCGAGTGAACGAAATGAAAGAAGCTGTGATGATGAAGCTGAAGCTGAAGCTGAAGCTGTGTGGGTCGCTAAAATATATAAAATCTAATTACGAACAATGTTTTTTATTTTTTTTTTATTTATTATTATTATTTATTTTATAGATTTTTATAGATTTTTTTATATTAGCTTGGAATAGTTTTTATTAAGTTTAAATAATAGAGAACAAATATACATGTACATATGTACATAGAGAATTTTTTAGTAACCTTTATTTAATTTATACATATGTATATTGGTGTAGAGACCGTTCTGGATGGTGATGTACGTACCCTCTTTACGAAGGTGTACAAATGGATGTACAGAGAGAATGGGGTCTCACCCACAGCGGAAACGGATTGAACGTTTCGATGATAGAGTTGAAGAGGAATATAAATTTCTCAACTGCCGTTGTGTTGTGTTGACGAAATTAAATGTTCGGAGCAATCTGAAGACCGGCAATGAGAAAGAGAAGGAAGAAACTTATCGTACTGATCTTTACGGAAATGAAAATGCGGATCAAAAATCCGGCTGGAGGGACCAAATGTTATGGAGGGGGTTGCATCCTTCAGAAGAAAAAGTATATGTTGCACCGAAAAAAATGAATGTGGAGTAAAAATGTTACGACACAGTCAAAAAGAACACCAATACAAAAAATAAGGCATGGAGAGTCGGGGTATATTCTTATGTAAGTATAAGTATCACATCAGCTTTATTTGCCTTAAATATATATATATATGTATATGGTATATAATAATATAATATAATAATAATATTGTAACGAAAGCCGCCGAAAAGAGCTTTCGATCCTCGAGGCAGTACGGCAACGCGCGAAGCTCCGCGACAAGGCACAGAACTCAAAACGAGCTAAGCTGCGCAATCCCGAGAATCTGACTTCCTGAAAAACAACACGCATTTTTGGGCTAAAATAAAGTCAAGGAAATAATCCCGAAATACTCGTGTGATCATTGGGTGGCTTAGACGGGGAAGTTGCCAGAGGAGAGTTCTTGGCAGCCACACCTTCAAATAAAAGTTCCGCTCGGCTTTCCGTAGTGATCTCGGCCGGCACCCCCTTAGACGCCCGGCCGAAATTCGTTACATTGGTGCCAGGTGTGGGGTCCATAGGGTTTGCGAAAACCCTGACCTACGAAAATGCCGAAGAACTCCGCTCGCCACCGCCGTCAAGCCTCCCCTGAGGGGCATAACCAAGAGGAACCGCGTGATGGTGCCGCTGCGCTGGACGCCGTGGCTTCCTTCCGGCTGCTCGAACGAAAAATGGAGGGCATGAATCAGTCGTTTAACCTAAAGTTCGAGCAGATGTGGGCGACTTTCGAGAAACAACGGAACGCAGCCCGCGCGCAGTCGCGACTGCGTGACACAAGCTGGGGGCGACTTGTATTCCGCCAGCACCCCGCGCTTCGCAGAGGCAGCTAACCCCTACTCTGCACCTGCGCGAGAAGTGTATTCCGGAGGATGGACACCTGACCTCGAGCCGCGCCAACTACTGCGCCGTCACCAGCGTACGACCTAACCTCACATTTGGGAATCCTCGAGGTGTCGGACGCGGAGTTGCCGCCCACATTCGACGGCACCCGTCCCTGGCCGGAGTTTCAGCGCCTCCTGGACGACATGGCCGAGGAGTACCATTGGTCAGAAAGGAAGAAGTGCCGGAAATTGTACACGTGTCTTCGGGGGCGTGGCCAGCGTTTTCACGCCACCCTCCCCGAAGCCACCCTCCACTCGTATGAGTCCATGTAAGCATGCCGGCTATCACGCCTTCCACAATCGCATGCAGGGACCGCGAGAGTCGCTCGAGGACTTCGCCCTGGAGCTGGAACGCCTGGGCAGATGCGTGCTCGGCGAGTTGCCGGCGGCGACGTACAACAGCATCATAGTGCAGCGCTTCATCGACGGGATCCGAGAGACCGGATATCAAGTCCCGATCCTCAGCAGCAATCCGCGCTCGCTGACAGACGCCCTCGACATGGGCTGCCGCATCGGCGCCCAGTGGCGACGACGCTCAACTGCTGCCGTGATGACCGTCGCTGCCGTGGACCCAGACGATCCCGTTGGCGCA